GCAGGTTTGCAGAGCAGGTCATCAGTGTTACATTCAATCATGTACACACGTGTCCTTTGGACTCTTCCAATTCATCCCCTCCATGGACCATGGCTTATCCTACTTCCTCCTAGCATTTCCTGCCTCCAATCCGAGTCTCTTTGTTGATTCGTTTGTTTGTTTTTAATCCTTTTATGGGGAGTTCTTACAGATATCAAAACATTCCATAGTTCCATCACTTCAAGCAATATTGTACAATTGCTACCAAAATCAGTTTCAAAACATTTTCTTTCTTCTTGAATGCCTTGATATCAGGAATCTTTACTCCTGTTACTGTTTCTAAAGAGTTATCTATCTTGGCTTTCATGTACCGAACAATATTAAGTATAAAAATGAACATACACAAATCTAACACAATTAATGATGTAAACAATAAAAAAAACATAATAGTAACAGCAGGAAATATTAAAGAAGTAGAGGATAGTTATGTGGTTCATCAGTGCCATACCGCACCCTGGATTTATCATCCCTTCCATGTGGCCCTTCTGAGAGGGACAGTCCAATTATCTTACAGGTGGTTTGGGGGTCTCCACTATATCCACACCCCTTCACACTGATTTGGTTGCTTGTTTTTGAACATCTGATTCCTTTTCCTGTGGACAACTCATGATCACACAGACTGGTAATGCTTCTTCCATGTGGGCTTTTATGCTTCCCTATTAGATGGCCGCTTGTTTAACTACAATCCAAGCATCTTCCTTTGTTTTCTCATTTGATAAGTGGGGATGCCCAATCCATAGGACTGGAGGAAGAGAGAAATGGCTTGGCTTCTGGACAGAGCCAAGCACAGACATGTCAAGCTCATGGGATTATGGTAGCTGTAATCCGGAGAAGATGCGATTATGGTAGCCGTAATCCGGAGAAGATTGGAACAGAGAGATGCTATCGTCCATCGCGGAAGGTAACACATTTTGACTTTTACCCAAAGGTGGAAAAAACAAAACCCTAATCGCGGAAGGTAGCACATTTTGACTTTTGGAACTCACTACGACCCTATAGGGGGTTCCCCAAGAAAACCAACAGCCTCATTTACATAAGCAGACAGCCTCATTTTTCCCCCAAGGAGCAGTTGGTGGGTTTGAATCCCCACTCCAACACCTAGCCCACAGTGCCACCGGGGCTCCTTAACAGTGAATCCTACATATAGGCTATGCGGTGCCCAGAGACATATGGGGTGCTGGACAGGAGGGGATCCCCATCTCAGGAGAGGGAGCTGTGAGCAGAGAGCGATTTCCGAGTTGGACCCTGTTGAGTCCCCGGGGATACCATGGAGGGGTCATTGGCCATCAGCTGCTATCCTCTGAAGTACAGAAGGAGAAAGGCTAGTCATCTGCTTTCACAGAGACTGCAGCCTAGAACACCCTCTGTACTGTGGCACACGGGGTCACTGTCCCTGGGGACCGCGTCGGAGAAGGGGGTCTGGTGGTTTTCAAAGTGGACCTTTGGTTTGTAAAAGGAGGGAAGGCGGAAGAGTAAGGACAGGGCACATGATTAAGTGGAAACCCCTTTGTGAGGAGGGGTTTGTGAGAAACCAGACCTGTGACCAAGCCTCCCTCCCAGGGACCCGCGCCAGTGGAGCCCCTCCCCGCCCTCATTTCTCATTCAGTCACCAGTTTGGCAGGAACCTTCTTTTCCGACCTCACTTTTCTCTCACTAAGTATGTTGTCAGCTAATTGGGGCGAGGGCTCGTATCTTATCTGTCTTCTTATTTCCCCAGCAGCATCCAGCAAAGACGGAGATGTCTAATACAAACCTCGATGAATAATTCAGCCACCATTTGTCCCTAAGTAATGGAACTCCGTGGTAATAAATCAGAGTTTCAGGAAAATGACTCTCAGATGGGAATCAGGGACCTGGTGCTTAGCTGACAACTGGGGCGACTCCATCTCACACACACCTGATGCACCTCCGACACAACAAGCGGCATCGCTGCTGCCGGGAAAAGAAAGCCCCAAGCTTCCCCTTGGATCCTGGGCAGCAGCATCAAGGCCTGGGATTTCTCGTTGCCTAGCAACAACTGCTTGCTGCAGAGACCCAGGCCCCTGGGAGGGAACCACCTTGCCAATGTGAGCTGCATGGAGGCAGGAGGGGGAGATGGATCAGCACCACCCCCGGGGACAGCTCCTGTTCCAGCCCTTTCACTCAGGGGCAGGTGCAGGAGGAAGGATTTCTGTACCAGGAAGGTTTGATTACAGGTGTCATTCTGTTCTGTCCTTGTCTTGTGTCCTTTTTTCTAAGTTGGTATAGACATCTCTATCACAAAATCTTTGCCAATGAAATAATTTCACCTGTGCAATCCTGTGTCACCGATGACATTCATCATCACCCCTGTCCCTGACAAATGATCCTATCACTTCCCAGTGCCCCCACCCCCGCCCATCCCAGGTAACAAGGAACAGCCATGGGTCTCCCTACATTGCCTATCAGTCAGCATAATGGTTTCTAGATTAATTCCCCCTTATGGCTTAGGAATAGCCTATTTTGTCTATTGATGGACATCAGACTTACGTCTACCTCCTGACTACAAGTAATATTGCTGCACACGCATCTGTCTGCATCCTGATTTCAATTATACATATATATAGATATACAAGCAATTTTAGATACATTATATATACGATATATAGTCTTCATAAGGAATAAATATATCATTATTAAAATATGGATACTTTAATATATTGATGTCTGCTGTTATATGTATTGATATGAATACATCTGGTTTGCATATATTCCTAGAAAATAATACTGAGAGTGCCACAGACAGCCAAGAGACCAACCAGCATCTCCTGGAAGAAGTACTGCCAGAGCGCTCCTTAGAGGCAAGCGTGGAGACTGTCTCTCACACTTGGGACATGCTGTCAGGAGAGACCAGTCCTGGACAAGGGTGGACACAGTGGCTACTCCCACGGGCTCCAACATAAGAGCGATGAGAGGACGGCACAGGCCAGGGCCGTGTTCTGTTCTGCTGGACACAGGGTCACTGTGGGTCAGAACTGACTCAACAGGGGCTAACAACAACATACGTGTGTGTGCATACACATATACATACACACAAACACTGAGATGCAAATATACGTATGCATACAGACACACACGTACGTGTATAAACAACACATACATCCACAGAGTGCCTAAGATCGGGATGGCTGGGTCAGATGGCAGGTGCCCACTCTTGTGAGGAGCGAGCTGCCAATCTGCAGAGGACACTCTGGGAAAGGAACGTGTGCTTGGGTCCCGCAGCGGCAGCACGAGCAGACTAGACTGAGGCGGTGGCACGGGCAGCGGCTGCCTCCCCTGTGTACAGCCTCCTCAGAGGGCACTTCATGGCACGACGGGTGCCACGCCCTGGCCAGCCACCCTCTCCCGTCGGCGTCCTGCCGGGCTGGCGCACACCCACCGTTCTGCGTGAGCTTGGTGGAGCACACCAGCGTGGAGATCTGGAAGGAGTCCTTGCTGATGGTGCAGCTGCCCAGGCTCTGCAGGCCCTTGCCCGTCGCCGAGTGCCCCTTCTCCTCCAGCTCCGCCTTCGTGGAGGGCAGGCTCAGGTAGGTGGAGGCGTCCTCCAGCTTCTTCGCTTCAGCCTGTGGGTGCACCACACGAGACGTCAGACTTGACTTGAAACCAGCTACGCCTTCGCCGATGCGGCCTTGGTTTCCCTGCAGAGCCGGGGTGGGGACCATCCAGCCCCCAGGCCGCATGAGGCACCAGGAATCATCAATGCAAGCTCGCTCACACACACACACACACATCTAAGTACAGGGTGGACCTGTAAGGCCCACCTTACAGATCGCCAATTGGCTCTTGGCAGAAAAAGGATCCCCAATCCACCCTAAATCACCGGGTCCCTAACTGGTTTGGCCCCACCACCCGCTTTTCAGAATACAAACTACTCTGTCCCTCCTGGCCATGGAATACTTTGGTACCCCAGCCCATGAGTCAGGAGAGAGTGCAGACACCTGCTCCTTCAGTCCCCACCATTGTTCCAGCACCCCCATCCTGACTCCCCCCACCCTGACTCCTGAGGGGACACACTGACCTTGCAGCCTTCCCAGGGACTGCTTACAGGATGCTCAGCACTGTCCCTGCCCCATCTACATATACATATACACACACACACAATTTTATATGCTTGAAGTGTGTCAAGATGTATAGGTAGACATGAACTCGTGGGAAAGAGGACTAATACCATGGGGCGTTATCGCGTGCCATTTCCCATCCTCAATTTGGGAGGCGCATCAGGAGGACTGGGCAGGTAAAGGTGGCCAGGGAGCACGCCCTGGTGGTGCTGGGGGTTAGGCACTGGGTTGGCAACCTCAGGCAGGTGGTTCAACCCTGCCAGCGGCTCCAAGGGAGAAAGAAGAGGCCGCCTGCTCCCGTGAATGTACAGTCTCCAGACCCCTGGCACAGAATCAACTCAAGGGCAGTGGGTTTGGTTTTCGTCCTGACTTAGGTAGCAGCCCTGGGAGCTGGGTAGCGCAGTGGTTAAGGGCTCTGCACCCCCCGCCCCAGCCATGCTGCAGGATAAAGACCCAGTCACTTGCATCTGCCAAGATGACCACTCTGGACCCCTGTGAGGTTGTTCTACCGGGTCCTGGAGGGTTTTCATGAGTCAAAATTGACTGGACAGCTATGGGTTTGGGTTCAGATTTATTTGGGGATTTTTAGGTCATTGCTTCCACACAAGGGCGGGGACTACCTGCTCAGGCCAGGGGACCCCGAAGGGATGAACTGGCCAACAGCCAGCAACACCAGCCACGACCACGCCTACCTTATAGACAATGAGGTCATGCTCGCCGTCACGCAGCGTGGTCCCGTCATAGCGCATCAGCTTCACAGAGGCAAGAGCAAAGATCTTCTCGGACTTGTCCTTTGCTGCAAGAAACATCGACAATGACCTTCACCAGCCGTCAAGGCAAAGCCACCTCACCAGCTGCTCTCTCGTCCATGTTAGTCCATTCAAAATCCCAACAGGGCCTTCTTGTGAAACTTGGCGGGCTGATGCTGGAGCAGGGTCAAGCAGAGGAGGACTGGGAAGAAGACGGTGGGGCTCAAGGGCGGCCAAAACAGGCAGAGCGGCTGCCGGGGCTGATTCTGAACAGCTGAGAAACATCATGAGATGCGGTTCTGGATTTGAAGATCAGGGCTTCTGGGACATCCCAGTTAATTGGCCCAAGAGCACGTGTCAGGCCTGGGGTCTGACAACCTTACAGGCGTCCATCTGGGGTACAGCAAGTGGTTTCATTCAGCTGGAACAAGGAGGGTCAAGGACAGGAGAATACGAAATGTGTGGCTACTGGTCTCCACAAAAAGGAACTCCCTGGACGTGAGACCAGAAGTCCCGGATGATGCCCCGCTCCCGAGATGCGACATTTTGATCAAAGATTCCGTGGAAAAATCCTAACCCAATGGGGGGCGGGGGGATGCAGAGCAGATTTTCAAATCCTCCTGAACGGCAAGCATAAAAGTGAATGAACCCCCAAAACTGCAGCCCCCCGATCATCTTTTCACATTTACATCCAAAATACCCCTGACAACCAAACACAGTTTAGCTCCGCTCGTTCAAAAAAGCCTGTCTTGGGCACCGTACCCATTCAAGAACTATCCATCTGGGATCAAACTGACCACAGAGCCAGAGAGGATCCTGGTAGACAGCACGGCTGTGTGAAGAGGGAGGACCCTCTGGGACGAGGAGGAGCAGGACACTCGGCCATCGCAGGGTTCGCGATGCCGTGAAGCAGTCGCTCAGAACCTGCTGCCCTGCCGTGGTGCCGCGCATGTTCTCAGTGACAAGATAAGCCATAGTTCAGAACTCTAATTACACTGTATATAAATGGTCGCCATCAAAATGCACACTAACCACTCGATGGCCGTGGGCATCATTTGGGTTGGGTAGCCTACAATGCACAGAGCATCGCAAAGAGAATGCCTGGCATGTCGGGGGCATGACTAACATATGCCAGTGATGCGAGGTGAGCCCAGGACCTGGAGAAAGGGTGCCAGGGAGGGACTTGTTTGAAGCAGGGTGGCCACAAACTGTGTGACACAGAAAGGTTGTTTCGCCAGGTGGCTCCCCATAGTGTATTGCCTAGCCTAGGAGTCTGCTTGCTAGTGCGTGGGAGGTCATCAAGAGGGGCTGAGGTGAGCTTGCTACCATGAAATGTGCCTGCCTCCTTTATTTTACTCTCTCTCCTATGGTCTACGACTTTACTACATCCTTTATATATTACCACCGTACAATAGTGCCTACGGACCCTTCAGTTGTCCGAGCTGGTCTCCTCTCACAACAAGCCTGTGATTTGTTAAAACACTGCAGTATCTGACAGGCAGCAAGAAGGGAGGGGCAATAAAATGAGGTTATGCCTGCTTTGTCTGGCTGGGCACAAGCAAATGTCCACTCCTGGGTTTTCTGCTGGCCCAGACCCAAGCTACCCTTGGCTGCCCTGGGTTGGGTGGGTGGTGTCCAGGACCATGCCCCCGCCTGCTATCCGAGCCCTCCTCGGTGATCCCTTAGCTTTGCTGTCGGAGAAGCCAGCCTCCTGGTAATGATGGGGAAATAGCAGGTAGTAAGAAGGCGCAGATGCCGAAGGCTAACAGAAGGCACACCGAGTCTGCACTGCTTCCAAGGACGGTCAGCAGCACCGGCCCTTCCCAAGCGGGGCTGTCTCCAGGGGGCTGGCCTTCCACTGTCTAAGGCAGCCCAGACGTGGGGGTGGGGGTGGGGTCTATTCTTTCTCCTTGGAGTGGGAAGGCAGTCCCGTTGCCTGCTGCCCTTTCTCAGTTGTTGGTTCGCTTCCTGGGGGTCTCCCTGCTTCCTCTCTGCTGGGAGGGCTGCACATAAATCCACTGCCATGTAAATCGATGCCCACTCACGGCAACCCCTACAAGACAGAGGAGAACCAGCCCAGTGGGTTTCCGAGGCTCTCAATCCAGGTAAGAGTTGACAGCCTTGTCTATCTTCTGAAGAACAGCTAACAGCTGACCTTGTGGTGAGCAGTCCAGCGTGTGACCACTGCACCACCAGGGCTCCTCGTGGCTGAAGCGGTAATGAGGAAATACACATCCCAGAAGGTCCAGAGCCAGGACTAATTGACAGAAGCACGTTGCTGCTGCGAGATGCCACTGCTGCCCCGGTGACCCTCTGTGCAGCAGAAGGAAACAAGACCCTGCCCTGTGTCATCTTTCTCCCCGGAGCATCTGAGCCACAGACCTTGCAGTTAGCAGTCAGGGCTGCACCCAGTCAGTCCCAAAGGAAGCCCACCTGCTTCCCTTTCAGACAGGAGGCAGCCACTGTGGCCTGGCCCAGGGGTCCTGGAGAGACCGCGGGGCAGCCATCCTGCCAACAGCCGACAGTCCGGGTGCCTTCGGATTAAGACATCCCCGGCACCACTTGTTTCCAAATGCCCGCCCCCCGCCAGGCTGGGACCTGGAGGGTGCCTTCAGCACACAGGTGCATTGCAGCAGGTGGGTGATGGCATCTCGTCTACCCTTAAAACTGGCCAGAAAAGCAAGGATTTGGAGAATTAAAATGCTGCAGAAGAGACAACTTCTGCTCTGGCCTAATTTATCAGTCAGAGAAGATATGCTGATTGGGAGTGGAAGGCATGCCTCTGACCTAGTCACCCTTTCCCAGAATCCTCCCTCCCCACACCCCCGTGCTATTGGTCCAGGACCCTAGCACTGCCCTCCTCTGAGCCACCCGCACCCCCACAACCTGCCTCACCTCCACTGTGGGGCCAAGTCAGCCTCACCCACAGCTCCCAAAGATCCCTCTTTCCCACCCACCAGTACACACCCAAGACACAGGTTGGCCACTGCCACCAAGGGCCCCCCTCACCTCACACCGTGGCAGTGCCACCACATAGTTCTGCTTCTAGATGGCCGAGAACTGAGAGCACAGCCCTTTCTGCTCAGCCTCTCTGAAGACCTGCCAGGCTCTAGTCCCACAGAACGGAATAGGCAGCTTCCCGGCTCTCCCCGCCCCCTCTGATCGAGATGATTCGGAGGGCTGGTCTGTCCACTGGACTCTGTTGAGAGAGTGGCAACAGAGCCAGGGACCTACAGGGTGGCCTCTGGGGATCACCTGGGGCCGGTCAGTGAGGAACACAGCACCTGGGCCAACCCTTCCTTCCCCCTTCAGCACCCACAGAACACACAACCGTATCAATGCTACTGTCACAGATTCTCCAAAATTTGAACCCACTGCCGAACAGATACCAACTGAGGAGGGTAGGAGCTGGTCTGACCTTATGCCACTTATGTAGGTCCAGCTCAAGGCTACCTCCTCCACAGAGAATCCCCTCAACCAAGGGGAAGGGTCAACCAACAAGACTCAAGAGTAAGCTAGTCTGGAAGGTGCGAGCGTTGAACGGCAGGTCTTTCCCCCAGCATCGTTCCTGGTTGTCCCAGTCAGCACCACCAGCATCTACCCCAAGGAGCCGTATAGGAGCTCCAGGTAGGGGCCCCCAGGTAAGTTTCCAACCAAGAGTGACTGGGGGCCAGTTCCCACTCTCTGTGAATCCTTTCTTAGTGAGCTTCCAACGAGGGCAATCAGCTTATGAAATAGGCAAAATGTCTATGTTCAATTCCATTTCAAAGAGCATTGGCAGCCAAGTTCCAAAGTGCTGGTGGTCCCACCGGAGTGAGTTTTCACTGGAGGGAAGATGGGCAGGGAAAAGCCAGAAGAGGAAGCAGCGGTACCCAGCCCTCGGGGGAAGGCGGGAAGAAAATGCAGACCGCCTAAGATCAGCTCAGAGACAGAGCATACAGCCCTTCCTCGGGAACTGAACGTGGGTGCCAAGAGCTCAGTCTCCACCAGGCTCTAAACAGCAGTGCCCAACCTGTGGGTCGCGACCCCTTTGGGAGTCGAACAACCCTTTCACAGGGGTCACCCGATTCACAACAGGAGCAAAATTGCAGTGATGAAGCAGCAACGAAAGTAATGTTATGGTTGGGGGTCACCAGCACATGAGGAACTGCATGAAAGGGTCGCGGCAGGAGGAAGGTTGAGAACCACTGCTCTAGAACCAGTGGTGTCATTCAGCAGATCCGACTGCTAACTTTTTGTTGAGCTTGGAAAAGCGGTCGTTGCGACAGCACTCGCCATCAGGGTTCTCTCTAAGGGGGGCGTCTGGGCAGCTGCTCAGGGTGAAAAATCACACCTCTATCCCAACTCGCTTTCCAGCCCTCACCTGAGCAAGTCCTCCTCACAACACAATCTCGTTTGGTGGGTCTCCTTCATTGTTTATATTTCAGTGTTAACTGTATGAAATAATAAACTACCTTTGGGGATAAATGCTGTTCTATATATAAACATATAGAGAGAGAGAGATTCACAACAGCCATTTTGTCCAGGAACCAATTGTTCAATTATGCATTTGAAGCTCACCACTGTCTGGAACCCAGGGAGGGCAGGGGCGGTCCTCCAGAAGGACCCTCCCCATCCCCTTCTCTCCCAGAGGACCCCACACTGTCTGTAGCAAAGGGCTGGGTTACTCACAGTCCTGCGAGGACCTGTGCCGGAAGGTGAACCGAAGGTGGCTGCGGTTGACATCTTCGATGGGAATGGCCACCTGTTGGGAGTGGAAGAGGGACCGTTCAAGCACGTTGGCCAAGGTCCGCTGACGAAGACAGTTGGAGCCCAGACACAGAGCACCCACCGTCCACCTGGGCCCTTCTCTGGGTCTCTGAAGGCAGAGCACTGGGGGAAGTTCACACAAGACAACACCCAACTGGGTGCGGGACTGCTGACTTGCCTTCTGTCATCGCTCCGATCCCCTTGGTTAAAGCTCTCTCCAACACTCAGGGGCCCACCTCCCACGACCACTGCGATGGCCTGCCTGCAGTGACGGCGGCAATGCCGGCCTGCTGTGATATCCCACTACACGGAAAAGAACCACAGGCATGCCCGCATTCGGCAAACCCCGCCCCCATCCTCAGAGCCCCAATCTGGGTCCGACAGCCCACCCGGGCCTGGGCCCAGCGTGACGTTTCCCTTTTATGTCGCCTTGGCCGGTCCGGCTTCTCAGTAAGTTGGCACTGATCCCCAAGATGGGATGTAACACGGGGCAATCACATCTGTGATGGCCTGGAGCACAAGGTCATCAACTCTGTAAGCAGTGACCCTGAGGGTGGGTAGAGCCCCCCGGAGTAGCTCACAGCTTTGCTGCCACTGGAAATGACTCTGGGGGTGTGGCCTGCTCTTCGAAGCCACCTCTGTGGAAAAGCTTCTCTCCCGAGGGATCTGGATCCTGCTTCTGCTTCACTGACCTCCTGCCATATTGCCAGACTGCCGATCCCAGGAGCCATCAGCGGACTGCCAACCTCAGACTCATTTGCCTTTGCATCCTCAGGAAGTCTAAAGCTTTCCTGCGTCCTGGCTCATTGGCACCACAGCCACCTGAGCCAGAAGCCTCCAGCTTACCATCGGACCCTCGGACTTGAACGAGGCTTGCCTCGAGCACATCTACAGTGGAGTGAGCCCTTTCTTGATATAAGTCTCGTTCTAAAGACATACACGTGTCAGTGTTACTGCGCTTGCCTCACCCAACACACCTGATTAATAAGAGCCCAAGGCTTTTGTACAGGGATGTCATTGTCCACGGTGGGTTCAGAATGCTCAGGCACCGGTGCTGCCCGGAGACGTGCGTGTGCCAACCCACAGAAGCAGGCTCCTTCTCCCTGGCAATTACCACCACCCCTAGGCATCCTCAAGGGGGCTTATTTCCATTCGGCTAGACGGCTCCACACACGGCACAGTCAGAAGACACAGACCATGGGGATCTTTCAAAGACTTGTCATTTGTCTCCATCAACGTCCAATTTTTACGTCCCGAAAGGAGAGGAGAGGAAATGTATTCCAAGAAACGCCTGCGGGGTCCTTAGCAACCTTGGATGACTTTGTGGGCGGATCAGCCAGCCCACTCCCGGTGCCCTTCAGCAGGCAGCCTGGGGCAAGGTGGGTGGGTGGAGGTGGGTGAATTTCTTTGGGACACAAAAGGGCCTTCCCAATCACATCCCTGAGATCCGGTAGCCGGCAAATTATACCTTCAACGTCTCAAACCAGCGTGGCTGCTTCACTTGATAGTAAATCACGGATTTGTACTCGGAGATTGCATCGTCGCCGGCTCCGGGGAAGATGACGTGCTTTAAAAGAAGACATCAAGGGTCCCCCTGAGACTTTGTCCACTGCCCACCCATCCCCACCCCGGGGACAAGCTGGGAGAAGGAAGAGGCAGAATGAACTAGGAATAGCGGTAGCACCTGCCCAAACAGAAGGCTCTCCCGCCAGCCAAGAGCAGAGCTGGCCAAAGCTGTGGTCAGCCTCCAGCCCTGTCCCCACACAGTAAGACCCTGGACTGTGCACAGTGCAACAGTCTTGTCTTCCATCTGTAGTCCCTCAGCCCACACACGTTAGCATCTGGATGGGCAGGAAGCTGCCAGAACCATGCAGTAGGTGCAGAACAAAGGGCTGTGGGCCCCATCCCCCTCCTCCAATGGGGGCCACCCTGGTGGCAGGCCCTCCCATGTCTCCAGAGACACCATGCCATCCAGAAGCACCAGTGCAGGGTGTGGGCTTTGTCCACATGGACTCAGGAGAGCTGCTCCTTCCAGCCTCCTAGCCCTGGTCCAAGGTGGAGCCTGGCAGGAGGGCTTTCACTGGGTCTCAGGCCCTCCAGAGAGGCTGCAGCCTTTGAGGACTTCCTGGAGCCACCGAGTCTGCCAGGCATGGACCCTGCAACCTGATGGGACCCCTTCCACCTGGCAGAGCACAGGTTCAGGGCAAGAGTCAGAGTCCCCCCCGCCCAAAACCCCAATTCAACCCCCAGAAGGGGCTGGGATTCTTCAGACATCCGATCTTCCTTTCTTAGGCTGAAGAAACGGTGGCATGTGCTTCTCATGACCACATGTGCTTCCCATGACCGCAAAGCAAAGCATATCTAGTGTCTGGCGGGAAAAATGTGTGTTATCACCACCACCATCAACATGCCATCATCATCATCATGTGAGTATTAAAAGGGACCCAGATCATCATCATTGTATTGATTACTAAAAGGGACCCAGAAATGCCTGCGATGGGTGGAAGAAGCTGTGGGTCACGTCGGAGAGTGGGAGAGGGCCGGCCAGAGGAGGGGGCCACAGCCACAGGGAGCCCTGGAGTCTGGCCAGCTGCCAGGACCCAGTGGACGCAGGACCTCTAAGGCCAGGTGGCGAGAGAAAGAAACAAAAAAGGCCCATCCACCTCCCCAGCCCCCAGCCAGGGTCCTGCCACGCCTGGGGGTCACCCCTCAGTTGGCAGCAGAGACGAGGTGAACCCATGCAGAACAAGACTGAGTACCTCCAGTCGCTTCCCCTCCTCGTCGTACACGGACACTGTGACCTCCACGTTCTTGGCGGTGGTCTTGTTTCCTTTATCAAAGTCTCCTTGCACGAGCGTGACGTAGATGTCGTTCCGAACATCACCTGGGGTCAGAGAGGAGTCCTCTAAGGCCAGCTCACCTGAGAGTCTGGCACACACTGTCTGAAGCCCGGGTTACCCCAGTAGGACAGTATAGACACTGTTTTAGACAATCCCAGAGAACAGCATCCCAGAATTTAATGGCAAGACTCAGACATCTTCCATCATTGCCATGCGAGAGGCTTCGAGGAGGGTCATGTCCCAGCCAGTGACCTGTGTGGTTTGTGTCTCACAGAGGAGGGGACACCCCTGGGAGCGGCTGCTGCCCAGGGGCTGCAACACTGGTGACGGATGATCTAGATGATGACCTAGAGCCTGCTGCCCGTCACGCCTCACATAGGGGCCCCTGGACCTAGCTGATGTCCTTTGGTCCTCAGAACCCCAGGACCATGCCAGCATCTACTACCACAGTCAAGACAGGAGCTGGTGCAACGGGCCCTCCCCTACCCAGCGGCCTTCTGAAGAGCATGACCCTGGGGGGTTGGCCTAAATGCTGGTTGCCCAGGGGGATGCCTAGCTGATGCCTGGCATGGATGGCTAAGAGTGGGGGTAAGCACAGGGCAAGAGAAAAGCCCCCATGGTCCTGCCTCCTCTGAGACTGGCAGCTGTCCGGATCCCCAACCACAGAGCGAGCAGAGCCCATCAGACAGCATGTTGGAAAAGGCACAGGCCTTTCATTGCTTCAAGACCCTAGCAAAGAACACACGAATCTTCTCCCCGCTGAGAACAGCGGAACCCCGTCAATGGCCCCATCAATGGTCCAGGTGGGGGAACCCAGAGGGCTTCGTCAGCCATGTGATGGAGACAGGGTCCTCTGCTGACCACCCTGATCCTGCCAGGGCACACTGGGCATGCTTCCCCAAACATCCCGAAGGCCAGGCAGCTGGAGGGCAGAAGCCCCCTTGCTTCCCAGCCTGTGCTTCTGCTTGTTTAAACAGCTACAGTCTGACTCTTAATGTATCTAACGATTAAATTACCCGTTCATTTAAAAGTCGTTATTGCAACACTCCCAGCAGGATTGCTGCAACTCCTGCCCAGCCACCTGCTGGGAGCGCACAGAGCAGTGGCTGGTAGATGTGAGGCTGGACATGCACAGGGGGAGTGCCGGGCTGCTGGTCCAAGGCTGGCCACCTTGGGCAAGTCGCTCAGCAGCCTCCTGGTCGCCCGTCACTGAACAGGTTAATCGGGAAGGCAGGATGGATGGTTTGGGTCCTAGGCTGGGAAATCCTATCATAACACAAAAGCCACAATCCTTAGCCTTCGGGGAGCAGTCACCCCCCACAGCCTAGGATGACCATGTGGAGGCTACGTCAGGGAAGACATCGCCGAAGGTCAGGCAACACACAGACGGGTCCTCGTGAGAGACTCCTGGCATATGCCCTTCGCCCCAACCTGGGTTCTGGGTCTTCCCTTCATCCCCAGCCATCATCCCCACTCAGAGGAAAGCGCTGTGTCCCACCGCACCAACCTCAGCCTCCACAATGCTCTGGACCAGAACCAGATGGTGCCCGGCTACCATCACAGGCTGCTCTGTACAGTCTGCCAGAGAAGCGGGGGAGAAGATGCAGCAGGAACTCCAAATGACACAAAAGACCAGGCTGACTGGTCTGGTAGAGACTGAGCGGCCCTCAGTCACCTTCAGATGGGGACCGAGCCTCCAGATGTACCGCAGACAGGCCTGTGAGGTGCTCGATCCACGTCATGGCACACTCTCCCCTGTGAGTACCAAGGGCAGCATGTGCCCAGGGCAGAGTTCAAAGGCCGGAGGGCAACAGGGTTTGTTCCTCATGGCAACAGCCGCCCCTCACAGGTAAGAAAGCTCACGGAAGGTTCTCAGGAATGTGTCTCTGCCCGGCATCCTGTTCTTGTGTTGTTGCCAGTCTTTCTGACCTCACGGGTCACCACAACCAAGACCTCTCTCTGGCCACCCTTCCAGGTCTCTTGGCATGCTCCAGTCAGGAGTCACCTGCTTCTACTCGCTGACACTGTGGGGCCTGGCCTCTCCAAGGCCCCCGGTTGGAAGTGGGACCTACCAGGCATGATGATCTCTGGGAAGCCGGTCTTCCGGGCCACTGCTGTCGTCCTGTCCACCAAGTGAGGGAACTCCTTCCGGATCTGATGGATATCTCCAGGAAGCAACTTCAGGGTCACCCATAAGCCTAGAGAAGCAACAGGGGTGGTGTCAGGAACAGCGGCTGGATAGGCGCGTGGCACGCAGCTCACAGTGCAAGCTCCATCTGCCAGGACCTAGGGCTCTCTGGAGTCAGTGTGCACTGAAGACACATCAGAAGGTGACATTTTCCTGGGAGTGGCTGGGGAAGCCTGTCATTGTCCCTTCTCCCAAGAAAAGCAACAGAGGGGAGGCTGCAGGAGGCAGGGACACGGCTGCATGATGCCGTGAGGGTCTCAGGTTGCTAAGCTGCATTGTGATACTTGGGAGACGGGAGGCAGAGGTCAGTGGCCCCGCACGGCCAGGGACAGGCTTGGCCTGCAGAGCCTGGCCTCTGCCGGATGGCTGTAAACTCGTCTGTCCCTTTATTGCAATGGGACAGTGAGACCTGCAAGCGCTCCACATCCAGGCCCAAAGGGCCCCTTACGGAGTCTGGTGACACTGCCAAGAGCTGACAGGTAGCCCGGTGCCCCGGGTCCTCTGTCCCTGCACGGCAACAGGGAATGCTCTCAGTCTGAGACACCCTCGTGGCAATCAGGCAGATGGGACAAGGAGGACAGAGTCAAAGGCACCAGGCTAAGCAGTGATTCAGCTATGCCAGTGGTTCCCAGAGGCAGGCAGACAGACAGACTTCCAAACAGGGAGAGAGGGAGGGCAGGTGGTTGTTGTCATTTAGCCACCAGGGGTCATTCCTAGCACTCAGGGCCTGTCCTGCAGGCCCACCAGGCCCTCCGCTCTCCAATGGAGCTAGCTGACCACCAGTGGCCTGAACGCACCTCTCCAGACACACGTTACTGCCAAGGGGGCATGTGTAGCAGGTAGGTGTGCCCATGGGCTATGTGTACACATGAGCATTGTGCATGTGCATGCATGGCTGTCTGTGCATGTATGTGTGTGTGCATGTCCACACATGTGCATTGCCCTTGTAAGGTTGTGTGTGCATGGGTACATGTATATGCATATATGTGTGCAGTGTGCATTCGTGCCATGTCTGGCTGCACACAGCATCCAGAGAGCAGGGCAGAGGTCATTACTAGTGAGCTCAGTGTTTGCCACTCAGGGGGAAAAAAACGGGAGCCACGGGTCCCTGTGCACAGACCACTGGGCCGAGAGTGGGTGGGAGGAGCCTGGTGGGCCAGGTAAGGCGTGCCATGGAAGCCAGCCCCTGGAGTAAGCCCCCACATGCATGCCCTCCAGCTACCCTGCCAGGGACCAGCCAGCCTGAAGGGCCCTTCCCCACTGATGTCCACCAGTTCTCCCTGTGCTGAGCCATCCTACAAGCCCCCGGGGCTGCAAGGGGCATCAGCCCTCAGGCCACTGAATCCATCTGGCCACATGCCCAGGAGGCTGGCAGGGCAGTTTGTGTCCCTCTCTTCATGATTCCTGCTGGTGGGGAGCATCAACCGCGTGTGTGGCTCTGTGCAGTGAGAGTTTATCAACAACTCTGGTGACTCCAGGAGGAAACCAGAAACCCAACAACAGCGCTGCTCTGAGGGGCAGTCATGTGGCCCCAGCCTGAGTCTGAGCACCCATCCCCTTCAGTGAAAGAGCAGGCTGGGAGGGCAGCTAATTGATGAGACGGTGGGGCCTGAGTCCAATGTAAACAGCTCTCAAGAGAGAGCACCTCTCTTTCAGGTTGGGATTGGAGCTTTTGTTTGCCTGAGATCGGGGGCGGAGCGGGGAGGTCTAGATCCAAGTTCACAGCAGAAGAAAGTCCAATGTCCTCACAGAGGAGCCAGTAAAGCAGCTCCTTCTTCCAGAACGTTCATCAGACTCAAGTCATAAGGTCCTTTAGAACAGTGAGGCATGAATGGAGAGAGCTGCTTAAAATTTTTTTAAAAAGCAGCCCAGCGACAGAAGCCAAAGAGCAGAATCCGGGTGTGGTGGGTGGTGGGTGGAGAAACCGTGGAGCTGGCGGATGCCTCCGTTTGAATTTTCCACAGAAAAATGTGTACACACAAAACCCTACCCACGGAGCGCAGATAGACAATGAAATGGTTCATTCACCCAGGCTGGGGGCATGGCATATGCCTGCCTCCAATCAAGGAATGGCATGGGGGCCGGGGGGTGTCCACTGGTGCAGAGGGCAGCTTGGGACACAGGACACTCTGAAGGTGACTTCCCCTTGGGCTGGAGGCTGGGGCTCCTGGCCAAGGCCGAGTGCTAACTGCCACCACCCCAGGGTGATTGATTCATTGCTTCTGCCAGCAGAAGGCCAGCTGCTCAGAAAGTATTCAGCTGGGGGAGGCGGGCATTAAAAAACGATGAGGGCTAGGCCGGAGTGGGGGAGGGGAGAGGACTCAGACAACAGGGCCAATGAGGGAGGCACGGCATGCACAAGTGAAGCCACTTGTCCAGGGGACAGGGAGGGGCGGGCCTCCCACACAAGGTGACGGTGATGGCTGCGAATGAGAGCGAGTGGGCACAAGCCCACCACCCGGGCTGAGATGGGTTCCGGGCAGTATCTCCGGGCCTTCTGCGCAGCGCGATGGAGCACCCCAGCAGGCAGTCCGCCTCCGCTCCCGGGAGGTCATTGCATGTGGGTACTGCTGCTGCATTTCCAAAGGCCGGGATGAGAAGGGTTGGCTGGAGGAGACTGGGGGAGCCTCTGGAATGACTTCCACCCAGTCTCACCAATGCCAAGCTCTGCCCAGACATGGCATCCCAACTGGACCGGGCACCTCACCCTCCTGGAATGCCAGCCCTCAGCCATGCTTCCTGGGGGGGATCGGCGGGGACACGCCAGTATGACCGACATCGGGATCAGGCACTGCACACACCACTCTCCGACACAGTCATCACCATCACCCATGCTAAAGGCCCATGCCGACCGCACACGCAGGCCCACGTGTGCGCACGCGCGCACGCTTCGTTACGTACCTTGCCCCTTGTGATTGACTTCTTTAGCGGCGATCACTTTGTTTATAACAGTCTGAAGGAAGTCGCTCTCCCCTGCCACCCTGGGTGAGAAACGGGATGACATGTTCAGCGGCTTGTGTCGGATGGCGTCGTCCAACGTGAGCCTGGGGTGGGGCACGGGACGACCACGACCACAGGAGACAAGGGGCACAGAGGCCCAGAGGCCACGGAGCAGGGGCGCGAGAGGCCACCGTCACCGAGGGTGAGACCGCGGCATCGAGAGTGAACGCACAACAAAGGACAGGATAGGTGACAAGAGAGACAGGGAAGAGCATTGGTCAGGAGGATACTCAGCCACGTGAGACAGGTAAAGCCGACGTGGGGCCTGACCCTCTCCCGGGGACGTGAGCACGCACACACCGGCTCGCAGCGAACCCAGGGGCAGAGTGGAACTGCCCCGGGCTCTCCCGGGCTGGCATCTTTACAGGAGCAGATCGCCGCCGGCTGTGCTCTCTCGGAGCTACAGGGTGGGGTGGGCTCTAACCGCTGTTAGCAGCGGAGCGCTTCTGGACGGCTCCGCTGGGGCCCCTGCCTTTTCCACGGGACAACGTCAAACAGGGACTCGTCTTTGAGGGAGGTGATCGGAGTCCACTTCATGGTCAGTGTCAAGAGTGGCAAGGCCCAGCAGAGGTCAGGGGGCAGAGGGTTTGGATGGAAATGGGACAACTGGGGGACCCTCTGATCTAACTACCCTGGAAGCTTTCTGGAGGTCATCCAGGGTGTCATCCATACTGGTCAGGAGGGCAGCATCTTTCCTGGACAAGAGAAACCACACATCCACTAAGAATGTGCCATGCAGGCGCCGCAGGTTCCCCGGGCTGTGAGCCTGCAGGACATGCTGCTCTAGGGCCGTGTGAATAAATCCCACAAGCAACGGAGGCACACAGAGATGCCACGGTACACAAAGCATGTGTGGGGACGAGTGAGGGAGCATACGCAGCATGCACGCGTGTTTACAATCCCCTCTAGGCACCCCGGAGGGTGCCGGGCATCATGGGAACCGACACCCCTCTGGGAACTGGGGACCATTTTCATTTACTTCTCCAAGTGGAAACAGGGAGAGAACGAGAGAGAGTGAGAGAAAGAGAGAGAAAGGGGGAGCTGTGTGTTGGGCTTCCTTCCCTAAAACCTATCCTGTGAGATCATAAATCAGTTTTAATGGGGCAAAAAACGGCTTCATTACCATGGCATTTCCCTAAGAACTGTTTGCACTGCTTATTTGGCTATTAAAACCGCGTTGCTCTTTTGTGTCTAACACTGCACATATTAATCTGTATATTAGTCTTCCTTTAATAAGGCAAAGAGTCACAAATTACCATAGGAGTTGAAGGCGGGAGTGTATTCCGCGAAACTCCCCTCCCCACCCCCAACAAGAGGTGATACACTGCGAGATGGAACAAGATGTGAAGCCACACACGGGTGGTTCCCAAAAGTTTGTCACATGTCCTCTCAAAGGCTAGCGGGGTTTCGAACTCTCTCCCTCTCAGCCTTGGCAAACCACCACCACACTGTTTTCCAACCTGGGGTCTTCCCAAAAGGTACTTTCTGACAACAGTTAAATCTACCTTAGGACGTCTGGGCATCAGAAAACTCAAAGGTTGGAGAACATAACATGCGAACCTACTCCAAATCCCATGAGCAGAAAGCAGCATCTTCATGCTTTTGTTTTACAGGGCCGCCTTCTTCACACCTGCATTCCGACCTGTGTTGAAGAGTGACCGCCCCCACCATTGGCTGAGGAAAGCTCCAGACCCTGGCAACGTCCCCTCCCTCCGTAAGTAACTCTGTCTTGGAGTCCCCGTTGACTCGGTCCTGATCCAGAGCCACGCCTGAACAACAGCACCTACTGTGACCCAGTCCTGCACGGTCCTCCCCGTGGTCACCAGGTTTGAGGTCATTGCTGCAGCCATTGCCAGTCCATCCTTTGAAGGCCTCCCTCTTTTTCAGAGGGCCGTACTTCAAAGCAATGCTGTCCAGACCAATGCTGTCCATCTTCCTTCGGAGCTGAAGGGAAAGGTCGAGTCTGTGCTGCCCAACACGGAAGCCACCAGCTAACGTGTCCTTAGCGAACACTTAGAAGGTATTAAGCCAACATGGCCATTTATGCTCACTTTTTGCTCATTTAAAATGAAACAGCCGCTGGTGGCTGTCGGTTACCGCATTAGAGAAGTACATCCGAAGCTCTGTAAAATGGAACTGGGCTTCGCCTTAATCACACCTGTAGCAGATTAAAGGAACTCATAATACTCTCTCGTATTTAGGTAATTTAGGGAACTTGAGTCAAGTTTTACAAAGGCCCCAGTGTGAGAAACACACACGACTACTACCCAAAGGCTATGAACTCGGAGTCACTGACATTGGTTCAAACCCCTGCTCCAGTAAACGGCAACTCAAGCCTGTTAAAAAAGGGCCTTGAGTCGTAAAAGACCTTGATCCTCAGAGTTGCTGGATGAGAAAGGTACAACCCAACCCTCAAGTTCAAGCTCAATCATGCAGAGTTTTCTGTAACTTGAATGCCAAGAAGCTTGCAGACTTTTCACTGGGCTACAGAAGCAGCACCCCTGTGCTATCTGATGGAGCCTGGGTGGCGTTATGGTTTTACACTGGGCTGTGATCCGCTTGGTCCACAGTGCGAAATCAGTAGCAGCTCTGGGAATAAGAGTGGGCTTTCTCTCCCCGTCAACAGTTACAGTCTCGGCAACCTGCAGGGGGCCACTATGGGCCAGCACTGACTGGGGGGCAGTGAGAGTGAGTTCTATTATCTGAGCAGATCGCCTGCCACCAAGAAAAATGCGCAATTCCCAAGTCTTGGCCCTCAAGCCCTGGTATGTGCACAAGGAAGCCACTTCACACCGCCTGCCTCCGGGGCACTCCGTTAGCATCCTTTGCCTCACACCCACCCTGGCTGGCTAACACCTGAAAGCCAGGCAGCATTTGTAAAATTTGACTTAAGTTCCCTAAATTACCAACAGAAAGAGAAGAGAGAAGACCAGAGTGCAGGACACTCGGTCAGGTTGTTCTAAAACTCTGACTCCGGCTCCGGCTCCCGGGTCATGCCCTCCTCCTCTGAGGTTCCACACCCCAGGAGAGAACAGCCTCTTAAGATTAACCCACACCGTTCTCATGCCTCCTGTTTCCTCTCCACGCTGCCAAGGTACAGAAGCCCTCTCTCCACTTGCCCTCTGAGTTTCAGGTCCAACATCTGAAACGACACCCCGTTTCTCAACCTTCTCCAGCTGCCCTGCCTTCGAATCAGAGAGCCAATGTACTGACTCTCCCCCAAGAGCCTCCTGAGGGGTCCCTTGCCTCTCAAAAGACCCCATGTCAGAGGGAGACAAGCACAGGTGGGCTCTTCTCTCAGAGAAAACGCACATGTAAACCCACTGTGACCTCTCATTTCACACAGAAATTTGTTATGATGTTGCTGAGCTTTCTCTTATAAAAAGAGCCACCTCCCGTGCTGAATTTGAAATTACCACCTTCGGAAACTGGGAGTCGTCCCCAGGATACATCAGTGATGTAAAGCCCACCCAGGGTCGGAGCAGAATCATAATTCTGTGGGTCCTCATGGGAAGGCAAGTCCAGATCACATGGGAAACCACTGCCCTCCAGGTCCACAGACACAGGTCGGCCCAGGATCCTCAGGGCTACGGAGGCTTCCATGGGCTCCAGCAATGACTGCAGACGTCCCCCCATGAACCAGCGCCAACGTGGGCTATTCAGGAGAGAATCATGACATGCTCGCGTCTTGCCCACCGTCTCCAGTTCATACTTACGGTTGAAAGGGAATGAAATGCTGTTTGTCTTCATCATCGACTTTTCCATTTATGATGTCTGTCACATCCATCACTGGGAACAACAGAAAGAAGAACAGAGCTGGTTTTGATTCAACGCTACAGTCAGACACATGCTGCCGTCAAACAAATAAACCAAGGACGATCAAGGCCTGCTGGTGCACTGCACCACAGCATGAACTGAAGGGTGGAATGTTCTGGTGACCAAACTTCAATTACCTCCACATTTGCAAGGCCAATTAAAGAGACTCATAATGGTGGCCACCATGAGGTTGGAGCCAAATGGCAGAAGTTCCACATAATAAACTTCCCTACCCATGACCCAATTGGCGTTCAAGAGCTGAACCGTCATGGAAGTCCCCATGATGGCGGAAATGGATTTTGACAATGAGGACCCACAGTCAGCAAGTGTGCCTGATTGCTGAATTTTTCATTCCATTAGCTCAGGTTCTGTTTAAGTAGTCAGAGGTGACCCCAAGCTGCCACATTGCGTTGGGGTCACCCTAGTGCCTTACTAAAGTTAGAACCTTGCCCTGCATAATGACACCCCAGTGCCATGGCCACCGTCAGCAAGTGCCCGCCACATGGTTTGACAAGGCGGGGGAGTGGGCTGGTCCCCGGCTCGGCCTCGCTGCAGCCAGCAAGAGGGGAAGAGACCACAGTGCAGACAAGAACAAGTGAAGGTGCCCAGGGTGCGTGGCTGGGAAGTGGCAAAGCCAGGGTTCAAATTGGGCTCTGCCACACTCTCTCCATGGTATGTGGCTGCCCTGTGCGTGGGGGCGAGGAGGCTGCTCAGCTCACGGCAAGTGCTGGCATGATCTGCAGGACACTTGCAGAAAGAAAACCCTTCCATCGGGCGGGGCTGACGGCCAGCACCTCCAAGGGTTAAGTCTCTCCCCTTGCCCTCCATCGTGACAAACAGGGGCCTGGACACCTCCCCAGCCTCTACTTCTGCATGACACACATGTCGCCCTGCCCTGTTTTCCTGTCTCTGCCACAAGCCCTTCCCAGTGAATATACTGAAACTGTGAACAATTTCTATCCCACCCCCTGGCAAAAAGAAAAAAAAAACCTAATTAGTAGGACCAAAAAATTAGTAGACCTTCCTGAATGGCTGTGGAGCTCTCCCCACCCTCCTGGAATCATCCACCATCTGATGCTGGGCCTCCCGGAGCAATGGGTGCTTCCACCACATCCCCAGTGACAACGAGGAATCCAGGAGCCCAGGAGCCCCAGGAACTAGCCAAGAGCACTGGTTCACGCTATAATATCTAGCTGTGTGGCCCCACCCATTGGCAGAGTCATTCTGGACAATGCCGCCCAGCAGGGTAACCCCCTCTTGAATAGGAGAGACTTCCTTCCAGTCTCAAACGAGAGAAGCAGGTGGGCAGGTGGAGGTAGGAAGGGAGTTAGCTCTGCTCTCAGCAGGTGAGGCTGGGAGGGGCTCTGTGGTAAAACTCTGGCCTGGAGGGAGGTCTGGGTCCAACTCCCAGCCAAGGCACTTCCTGTGCAGCCACCCAGGTCTGTCAGGCCTGTATGCATGTTGTACGACCCCAGACAGGTTTCATCACAGCTTCGAGAGTAAGACAGACTGAGAAGAACGATCTGCCATGCGACTTCCAAAGAGGCAGCCGATGGGAACCCTGTGGGTCCCAGAGTGGGACCAGGTCGGAATGTGGCGAGGGCACCGGGCAGGGAAGCAGTTGTCACGCTGTGCACTGAGTCCCCGAGGTGGGGCTGTGTCAACGGCAGCACACAACAAGGCTTAGAGAACTGCTGTTTCCAGCCCCCACCCCTCCGTAGGGCATGCTGGGCCTCCACAGGTAATGAGGGGGCTGTGGCTCGTGTCAGTGCCCGCAGCCACCGAGCTCCCCACCACTGGGGCCACACGTGATTTCAATGAACTCAGAGGCTTTGAATTAACTGGTTGGCGGTGGAGCCTGGGTTAGAGTATCACGTAAATGTCAACAGATTGTTCCCGGAGTCGTCAGTGTCACCCACTGCCACCCAGGTGATTCCCAAGCACAGCAACCAGACAGCACAGAGCACAAGGCTTTAAATCTGTACGGAGTAGACAGCCTCATCGTTCTCTCTCAGAGCAGCTGGTGGCTCTGAACAGCTGGCCTCGCCGCTGCAACCTACTGCATCACCCACGATGCTACGAGGGCTCTGTACAGGTTGTGCTGGGAACCTCCACATTAAAGAAAGCATCTCTATCCTCGGCCCGAAACTCTTACTTTGCAGTGCTGTCGTGGGGAAAGGGAAGCACACATAAGGAGAGGAGTCAACTCTGGCCCACCAAGAAAAAGGAAAAGTCATGATGAATGAAATGGAAATAAAATGTAAGAGAAAAAAGGGTCACAGCTTCGAAAACCCGGCCAGCCTCTTTGCCCACCAGACCTCACCACTAATCTGAGTGGTTCTGCGAGGAGCAAAAGCAAACGTGAAACTGACTTCACTTCTTTTGGCCCACACACACTAGTTTCAAAGAAAGCACGGGCCTGCTAACAGCAAGTCCAGCAGTTCAAACCCATCTGCCGATTCAGGGAAGAAAAATGAGGCCGGCTGCTCCGGTGAAAGCTGGTCTCTAGGAGCCGGATTCAGGCTGGTCATCTCAGCATCTTATCCGGGGCGAGCTCCCCTTGGTCCTCCTCGCTGGACAAACCCCAGCCTCAAGCCCATCGCCCGGTCCAGAGACATGGGAAACCCCCAGTGCCCAGGCCTACCCTGAGGGCTGAGACTGCGGGCCATGGGGAGATGAGCCCAGCAGAAAATGGAGGACATGAGTCAAGTCCGGAAGAGAGGGACCAAAACCTCATGGGCAGCACAGACAACTCGGAACCCACACAGAACTCGTACTGTCTCCCCTCTCCAACAGAGGAAAGAGCTGGTAAATCACAGCGGCTCGTATTCACGGAGGATGGGACGGTGTCCCGCTCTTAAGGAAAAGGTGGACAGTGGATTACCAGCCACTCCGAAGGGCCTGCGCAAGCCCGAGGTCAGCTTCCGGGTGTTGTTGTCCCTCAGCTCCATGCGCCCGACGCGGACGATCTGACAGACAAAGCTGATCCTCTCCCTTTTCAGGTCCTTGCTTCCAAGGCCCTAGAAACATTAACTTCCGTGAATCATGCTGGAGCGCCATCGTTCAGGGACGCTTTCAATGGCCGCGGACAAGGAAAGATGGATTGAGACTCCTTGCTCCTACCACTGTGCAGCCCCTGAATAAGGTCCTCAGATGACAGGAAAGAATGGAATAACAATATTCAATTAGAGCCGAGTGAACTGAGGAGACCCGGGGGAGGGCCATGCTCGGTGGTCAAAGGGACCTCAGTCTTGCTGGGTCTACAGGGAGTTCGAGAACCAGCAGGTCTGGGGAAGGAACGTCATTTTATCACTAAATTAAAGTTTATGACAGGCGGCCCAGAGACGTACATGCTAATGTGCAGGCAGAGGACGGCCAACTGAAGTGAGACACCCGAGTGCTCAGGAGTGAAAAATCCCTGCGGCCCGGGCACACCCACTGCACAAGAACCCTTCACAACGCTGAAGAGCAAGGATGCCATGCGGAGGGCCAGGGACGCCCGACCGGAGCCACAGGGTTTGCAGTCGCCTCAGTCGCCCATGGAAGCTGGACCAGGGACAAGGAAGACCAGAGCCGAACCGGTGCCTTTGAACTGCGGTGTTAGGGAAGAATACTGAACGTGCTGTAGGCCAAATGTGAGGGTGGTGCAGACCGGGCAGTATTTATTTCACTGTGCTGTGCAGAGAGCGGCCATGGGTTGGAATGGACTGGATAGCACCGGACAATGACAATAACCACGACCGTGGCCTGCTGAGAGGACAAACCATTCTGCCTTGGAAAAAGCACCCTCCTTAGAGTTCGTCTGCCCTAGGTCAGGCCCGGCCAGGCCAGTCCCTGGAGAAGGATGTCATACTGGGTCAAGCACAGGGGCAAAGACAAAGAGGAGGCTCTGCACAAGATGGACTGACTCACTGACCGCCACCTAGGCTCAAACATAACACCCACTGAGGCAAGGCCTGGGACCAGTGCGCTTTCGTTCGGTTGTGTGGGTCCTCGGGAGGGACTCGAGGCCACCCTACTACCACTGGTGACCTAGGTGCCCGGTGCTGGGTGATAATCAGGCAGAGCTAGGCCACCAAAACGGGTCATTAGAAGGATCAGAAAATGAAACTGTCCACCAGTGGTGTACTTACTGTAAACACGGCTCGTAAGTTGTGTAATCTGTCTATATCTTTCGGTAATCCTGAACTTGACCATCGGACCAGGTAGTTTTCACTTTAAAAAAAAAGAAAAGCAAATTAATTTTCCAAATATAATTGGATCTATCCACAATCACTTACAGTCACCACCACAGATGTCCGCTGTACACACCATTATATGAGTTTCACAGAAGCATCAGCCATATACCCACCCATCCTGGAACTGAACCCACCCCCGGAGGATCACCTTGCAGCCAAGCACCAGGTGGGCCTCTGAAGTAAAGGACAACACTGGGAGGAAGTGTTCCTCAGTGTGATCGACCACATGAGGCTGGCAGGGCAGCGTTCCCCCCAAAACTAACTTCAAAGGGGGCAAGAAAGGAGAAGGGAAACTGGGAGCCCAGGAAGGAAGCAGAAGAGCGCCAAGCCATTGAGTGGACGGCTGGCAAACTTCAAATGGACAACCTGCCAGCACAGAGCTGCCCCTTAAGCAAGGTGCCATTCCCACCCAGTGCCGTCTTCAGGACCACACAAAACCCTGGGGAAGTTGTCATCTTAATGCCTTGCCTTCCAAGGGCACTGGAGATACTAGCAGCTGGCACCGCAGGGTTTATTGTTTGAAAAGTCTATTTTTGTGGTGGTTGTTCTTTTCAGATGACCCTAGTATAAAGTCCAAAACTGCCTGTGTCTTTCAGGATAACAGCAAACCCAGCAGGGCATCGCTAACTTTGAGTCCTCTGGCAAGAGGAAGGGGAGTCCTGATCAAAGTGGGAGGGCAGTTCCCCTCAAGTCACATTGAAGGTCACATCCTAGGTTTTTCCGTTTTAAGTTGCGCCAAGGAAGAGACTGGCGTGTGGAACCCACACGGCACACCCACTTCACATGCAACGGAAGCAACAGTGTTTCCTTCGGGACAAAGAGAAAGGGAGCCACAGCAGAACTGGCAGCCATGACAGAGATGTGGTTGACATCAACCAAGAATAACTGAGCACTGCCTTGGGGCACAGGGGCTCTGGGGGTGCACCGGGCTAGGCATCGGCCGCTCCTCAGCAGGGCCCCTGGACAGCTCAGCTGCCATTTTCCAACACTAACCCCGAGGAGAGCCCGACGCAGCCTGGGCGTGTCACCAACCTGATGAACTTCGACTCTCCGGGGTCATAAAGAGACATGAGCACCTCAGCATCCTCCCCTATCTTACACACCACGTTCTTGAGGTTGACAAACAGGGCAAAAGAAGGGGTGGCCGCAAACTTGGCTTGTCTGTTGATGTCTATGTTCTGCTTCTGAGACTGCAGGAGGGAGACACAGATGGGAGGAGGGTCACATTGGCAACACGCGTGGCACACGCTTGCTTCTTAATTTACTTTTCCAATCCTCTCCGGGTCGAAAGGAGATTCACAACACAGCAAAGTCATGCCTGCAGTCTGTTAACTTGTATCCAGGTCATGTTCTCAGGACATGTAAACACCCCACTGAGAAAGAAACAGACATGCGCACCCACTACAGTGTCTGTCCCCACCCGGCGACAGTTGAGACTGTCTTTCCTTCGAAGGTAGAAAACGTCCCAGTGCCGACCAGTGAATCAGAATGGAAAACGAGGCCTCACATGGGTAACTCCTTGCTTCATCCTGGTTCCTCCCTTAGACTATACCCTGCGAGGTCACCGTAGTGCTACTCAGCCTTACCGCCGAGAACATGGCATCATAGCTGCCCAACATTTACTTACTGGACAAAGCGGCCAATTAATCAAGTCTGAGTAGTACTTCTCGCAAACTATCATGAAGGTTCTGGAAGGTGAAGTAGATCAGTAATATCTGTGCTACCTACCCTCACCAGGAGGTCGCCACCCACCTCTATCACCAAGGACATGCACACTCAAGTACAAGTTCCCACTGGACAGGGGAGAACACAAAGCCATTGATCGCATCCAAAAACATATGTTAGAAAACCAACTCCGACTCACAGCGACCCTATCGGACAGGGAAGAACTCCCCCCTGGGTTTCCGAGACTGTAGCACTTGACAGAAGTAGGAAGTCTCCTCTTTATCCCGAGGAGCTGACGGGTGGCTCTGAACCACTGACTTTGCGGTTAGCAGCCCAGCGTGTAACCACTACGTCACCAGGGCTCCTATTGGCCTCACAGTAAGCTGCATACCACCATGGTCACCCAGCTCGGTGACAAAGTCCTTTCGTGTCCCAGGCAACCAGTCTGACCGCCGGTATCTCCTCCAATGGGCATCAAAAGAAACATACCGAGCAGCTGTTCTCTGCTGGTCCCTGTGAGGGGGACATACTGGCCATCATGCCCCCCCCCCCCAACTTGCTGGCTGGATTCCAGAGCGGGAGACTTACCTTCTCTTCCTGTAACCTTTCCTCCACTTGCTTGGAAGCCACCTCATGAGCGCGGAAGAGACTGATGGTGCTGGTGAGCTCGGGGTCCAAGATGTTCCCATCTTCGTCTCGCACCACCAGGTCCAGATCGAGGATTCTACAACAGCAAGGGTTCAGAAGTTCATGGATGCTAAGCAAGGCATTCAGTTGCCGGGTCAGGCAGAAAACGCCACCTGCTTCAGTCACTGAGCAGATGAAAACGTCACAGATGGACGTCTGGGGTCACTCACAACTGTGGGCGCCTAATTCTGAGGGGTGGCCTTCTGTAACTCAAAGGGTATCTCCTGGGGGAGGTGGTTCTAAGGGCGTGATTTCTTGCTCTTTCTATTTAATTGCGATGGTGACTTCCCTCCCAGGGAGAGAACTCTGGCAGCTGCCAAGCCCAGTTGAAATGAGTTCCTAATTGTCACGTGGACAGTTCAAAGCATGGAGTCTCCTTCGTCTGCTCTGGGCACAGATTCTCAGAGGTTTGTGCATGCACCCACACTCCCCCCTTGACCAAACACACAGAGGGGGCAGTTTGGGGTGTGACCACTGGGCTGGGAAGGGCAGGAGGGAAGGAGAGAAAGCTGAAGCTGGTACACATTCACCGCTCCGTTGACTCACCACTGTCTCTAGAAGGTTCTACCTTATTGTTTTCCTCCAACCTAGGGTCAATTCTGAGGCCCACATTCGCTCACCAGAAGAGTTTCAACGAAGACATTCTACTGTGCTTGCGCACCAGGCACCGGAAGGTTGGGCACAATCATCCTTCCCCAACTTCCTGGCCCAGGGGCTAAATGCAATAGCCAGAGCTCACCATACATGCCATCTGGCCGGTCCATCGGTCCATCCAATGACTGGCACGGCTTGGGGAAAGCTGCCTCCCCAACACCTCATCTCCTATTAACCTGTGTGGTGGTGGTGTACCGGGTTTAATGTAGAGACTAAACAAATTTCATGAAGGCAAGAAAGCATCAGAGAGCTGGGTTATGGAGCTGGACTCTGGTCATCTTTTCAGTGAGACGTGCAGCTCGCAGGGCAGGAAACTACCCAGCAAGCCTCGTTTCCTGGCTCTGTGGGGTCTTCCTTGTAAATGGTACACAGAGGGAAAGAGCATTTGCAAAGGACGACACTGTCCTTAGAGAAGGCTCTATCAGGTACGCATTTAGAGGCCAGTGAGATCGTTGCTAAACACTCTGCTCAGACAGAACGAACACCGGAGGCCCCCTGTTTCCTTGGTCACAGCCAGAAATGAATGGTTTGGGGAGCTCAGGGCATCCCCTGCCACGTGTGCAAGGCAATGACAAAGATGTCGGGTTTCCTCTACTGTCTAGAGCCAGGCCTCTGATGAGGCAGCCTGAGGGCAGCACACAGGAAAGAGGGCTTTGACACCAACTGTGGTGCCATTCTTCTATGGGGCACGCTTTCTGGCTGCAGGACAGGGAGTCCTAAACTCCTCCATGATCTTTACCAAATGTAAGGCAAGGCTCTTCCTTCCCTCCAAAACCACGCTGCGTGTCTCTGTCCTGTGTGGGTTCCCGGGCAGCCCATGCAGGTATGGGCGGGGTCTATGCTGTGTAGGGGTGGTCTTGGTGGTGTGGGCAGGGTCAGTTCTGGTGTAGGTGGAGGCAGGGATGGCCTGCCCTGGGAGAGGGGCTGCCCTTACTGGAAGGAGGGGGCTTGGAATCCTCCAGTGCTACCAAAGCAGAAAGACCACGAGTGAGCAACTTGAACAAATGGAAACTTTCCTCTCTCAGAGCTTAGGACTACGATAGCAATGGTCAGCAGTTCGAAACCAGCAGCAGCTCCACAGGAGAAAGACTGGGCTGTCCCCTCCCGTAAACAACAGGTACAGTGTTGGAAACCCCGAGTCAGCACTCTGATTCAGCACTGACTCGATGGCAGTGCCCGAGTTACTCCAAGTTCAGGGTGCCACCCTAAGGGAAAGCTTTCTCCCCTCTGTCAGCTCAGCAGGAAGTTCTTTGTCCACTTGGAACATCTGTGGATGTGGGGTGCCTTGGTGACCTCCGTGTGTCTTGGCTTCCCTCTCCTCCTAGATCTAGGAGTTTCTCAGCACAATGACCCCAGATCCCAAGGACACACTCTGCTCACAGCAACTCTTTCACCGTAGCAGCAGGTCCCCTGACCTCTGCTCACTTCCCTCTCCTATCTCTGATAAGAATAAGGAGATGAAGGCCACACCCCAGGAAAACGCCCCTCACACTGGAACAGGGCTATGACCTGAGTAGAGACGTCGCATTCCATCCTAATACCCTTACAAATGATTGGCTCAGATCGCATCATCAGATGACATCATGGAAGATAATGACATGATTACCAGACCAACAAATGACATCATTACCAACCCACGGAGAATCATGGTCCCAGCAAGCTGACACAAGTCAGCGGACACAATTCAATCCATGACAGGTGTGATGGAGCAGAAATGCACCTGCTTGAGCAGGATCATGGCCAAAAGTCCCGTAGGCCATGCAGAATCAAGTTCCCGGAAGGGTCACACCAATCAGCCTCGCAAGACCCAGGCCCTGAGCCAACGTCCTATGCCTATGCCCTCTGGAATGCTCACCTCAAGTCCCGCCACGAGAGAAGGGCAGACCCATTCCACAGAGGAGGGAAAGCAAGCTCAGAGAAAGCACTTCTCAGGTCCAACATCAAGTAACCAGGGGCCCACAGATGGAAGTGGAGCCAGAAGCACCCCCAGCAGAGCCCAAACCGTTCCCACAATGACATACGCAAACCATCATGTGACATAGCAGGCCGGAGGTGGGCTTCAAGCCCACCCATTCCATGCACCATTCTCAGTAGTCGGCATTCCGCTCTGTGGTTCAGCATCCAGCCTGGTGTCCACTATGAAGGTGCACCGCACCACGCTCCAACCGAAGGCCCTTGGAGTTCAACACCGTCAGAGCCTAAAGCACTATGGGAAACCAATGCAAAACTGTGCTTGTGCATTTCTCTAGAGACGAATCCTACCCTCCATCACATCCCACATGGCCCTCGCAATCCCCTGCCCAGCCCAGGAAAATAAGAAGCCCCTGAATGACGGGTGAACAAAAGCACAAGTCAGCTCCTCCTGATGACGCCGTCCATCCTACAGGCTGCGCACTCCTCACGAGATGCTACAACAGAAATACCACACGTCGAGTGGTTTTAACACTTGCATGTTCTCCCAGTTAGCTAGAAGCCCGAACTCACGGTGCCGGCTCTAAGAGAAAGTACTGATCTCCTTGAAACGTCTGTGGCTCCGGGGTTGCTCGGCGCTCTCCGCGTGTCTTGCTTGGCATCCATCTTCCCTCAGCTCTCAGAGGTCCCAGTGCAGGGTCTCACGTCCCAAGAGTGCTTCGTTTAGGTCTCGTCCTGCTTGGTGAGGCCACTCTTCTCTGCTGCTTCCCTCTCCTTCCACTCTTTGTGGAAGGTGGGTTTCAGGCAAGGATGTGGCTTGAGGAAGAGCAGTGGCTTGGCCGAGGATGACACCGGATACGGCTGGGGCTAAAGTCCAGCCCTCTTCTTCTAAGGCTGAGAATCAAGTTGTGCCCACACTGCTCCCAGCCCGATGGGATGTATAGCACATCACACAATGGGGTTACTCAAAGCATATCACCCAGGGGAAGATAATCACATCACACCACCGACCGTTCTCTCTCTTTGCCCTACAGCAGGGGTCCTCAAAACTTATTAAACAGGGGGGCCAGTTCCCTATCCCTCAGACCTGTTGGAGGGCCAGACGATAGTTTAAAAAAAAAATCTATGAACAAATTCCTATGCACACTGCACATATCTTATTTTGGAGTAAAAAACAAACAGGGCAAAAACACCCGGCGGGCTGGATGCATGTCCCCGGTGGGCCGCATGTGGCCTGCGGGCCGTAGTTTGAGGACCGCTGGACTAGAGTCTAAGCTCAGGGGTTTCCTGCTGTGGTCACTTGGTTAGAGTACCAAAGACGTATCACTTTAATGAGAGTGTGTAGCCGTGACCTTGCTGACAATTCCAGGACACGTGCCCTTCATTTGTACAACACAAGTTTCTGAATCTTTGCGTTCCATTTTCACTGTGCACAGTTCATTTTTAAGCCCACCTCATTCTTTCCACATATATTCTTTCAGATCCTACCTAGAAACCTCATCAAGAAGATATTCAAGTTCCTCCCTGACAAGTTCTACCTCCCACCAAACATCTGAGCATCATCCAAGTACGTTCACTGGCATGGCATGAAAAGGTGAGCCGTCCTCCACTGTCCAATCACATCTTCAGCATTTCCTTTCATGCCTCCCCAGAAGCACACTGGACATCCATAATCCCACCGAGAGTGTCTCCCAGGAACTCTAGGCTTGTCAACTGCAACTCCTCCAACCTCCACCACCTACCCACCCAGTTCTAACCCACATCCATATTGCCGAGGGGACAACACCTTTGAGGGAGGGCAATAATCCAATCCATGGCACGGTCACACCTGCAATGCTGTGACTGTCCCTCGGATGTGGGTTTCTGAAGCAGGGACTGAAAGGTACTCACAGAACAGTGCCCTGAGAGAAATCACGGCACCGTCTCCAGGTCCTCTGGCAAAACTGCCTGATTAAGGATTGTATTTCCTATCAAAGCCGTAAATTACGTTTGGAAACACTTCCCCCCTTAATGAGATTGCTCCAAGACATAATGTATTTTGGTAGCTTCCTGCAGCCAAAGGAAGCAGGTGGTCTCTGAACATCAGTTCAAAACACGATTCCCCCAATAGCAAATACAATCAAGGCTCCAAAGGGCTGGCTCTCTAGGCTTGAAATGGGTTTCGCTGCAACAATACCTAAGACTGTAAACCCAGGAGTCTTCAGTTTTCTGAGGGAAGGGAAAATAATCATCATCATAAAGCTTCTCCCGCAGAATTTCCCATCCAAATTTGCTCTCATCTGTTTGCTAACCTGGTGCCTGTGAGCCGGCAATGGAGCTGACAACCGGTGAGCTCCACTACTCTCTCCCACTCTAAGAATGCAGGGTTCTGCAGACAGAAACCCAAACTTGTTATTATACAAAGATCGCCGCGTTTGGACCAGAAGGCAAACACCACGAGGCCAAATCTGCTAACAGGACAAACCGACCTGTGTCAGAAGAAGTATTCCAGAGGGTTCCTCAGCGGCAAGGATGGCGAGACTTCGTCTTACATACTTTGGACATGTTGTCGGGAGAGACCAGTCCCGGGAGAAGGACATCAGGTAAAGAGGAGGGGAAGTAAAGGAGGGGAAGGCCCCAACGAGACGGACGGACACCGGGGCTGCAACAGCGGGCTCGGGCAGAGGAACGATGGTGAGGAAGGTGCAGGACCGGGCAGTGCTTTGTGCAGTGGTGCATGAGGTCGCTATGGGTCGGAACTAACCCGGTAGCACCTAACAATGATAAGTGGGGCCACTGAGGATGCCCTCCGGTCAGGGAGAACGACAGGCCACTCAGGTCCTGCGTCAAGGAAAGGAGTTGTCAACCCTGACCCTCTCCCATTTTTCAGAACCCTCTAGAGAAATCCCCACCCTTTCACGAACAAAACCAGGATGTTTGGGACTCTGCTTTATCACGCGATGAGATCTGGCCGCGTTAGGGTCTGTGGTGTTAGCATTGGCTATAACGCAGCATGAATCCTCTTTCCACAAACAGACCTGTTCCCGTAGTCAATTTTAGCGGTGATCTTCTTCTTCAGCTCCTTGAGCTCATCCTGGGGCAGAGTGCCGGAGAGAATCTGCGATCGCCACTCAAGGAGGTCGTAGATCATGTGCCGCACACTTCGGAACATCTCCCGGTTGTCTTGCTGTGCGGGGAGGAAGGGAGGGGAACACTGTCAGGCTGCAGCATATCGACAGGCCAGGGGCATGGGGCGGGGTGGGGGTGGGGAAGGTGTTCTTTCAAATGCACGCATCCTTCATGCCTTCCACCATGGGGTGCAATCAATGTCCAATGGGGGGTGGGGGGGTGGAATGTTTGGGGCATGACTGGAAACCCACGTTGTATGGATTTGGGGTCCAATGAAATGCTAGACATTTAAATGGATAAAAAGGAATATGCCACTCCAGCACGCCACCCAACATTTCTGGAGCAGCACCACTGAGGTGTATCATTGACCAGGGCAGGAGCTGCTAGTCCGGGGTGGGCAGCCCATCAAGAACTTTCGTTGGTCCTGATCCTGAAGATCTGAACCCATCCCTTGCCCACTGCCTGCAGAACACCCTGTGCCCTGACCATGCTCTGCACACTGAGCTCTGGACCCTGTGCTCAGCTGAGCTGTGCGGACAAATGCCCAGGGGGCTCTCAAGCACATGGGTCAGCACAGCACACACCCAAGTACACAGGTCAGTGCAGCTCACACACAGGCATACAGGCCAGCACACCACACACACAGGCACATGGCTCAGCACAACACACACAGCTACACAGGTACACAGATCAGTACAGCACACACAATTACACAGGTACACAGATCAGTGCGGCACACACACAGATACACAGGTACATGGATCAACGTGACAAACACACTGCTACAGGATTCAGTGTTCCCTCTGCAAGCTTGTGTCTCTCACGCCAAAGGCCCATGCACGGAAGACACAAAGCGCAGACTTGCCATCATGGTGGGTGCATTGGGACAGGGTTCACGGAACAGAGGAAAGCAGCCATCTGCCGCTACAAGACGACCAGTTCATCCCATGGATGGGGCTAGTCTTCCCAAGGAAAGGCATCTACGTGGGCCCTAATTCCTAAAGTACTGACCATCACAATCCCTTAAGAAAGATCAAAATGTGGTCATTGCTCTTTTAAAAATAAAGTCTATCCTTTCGGCGGGAGTAGTCCCGGCGGTGGAAGCAGTGAAGCCCACAGCCCTCGCTGGAAGGGTGCAGCAGCCAGAGGTCCATGAGAAGGCAGACCTGGCAGCCGGTGTCTGAAGTGCCACCCTCATGAGGCCCTGAGATGCAGCTCTGCTCTGCACACATGCCGCCCCATGGCACCTCCAGAAGTGACCCTTGGAGGTTTGGTCCAGTCCTCAGAAGCGTCCTAAGATTCCACCTGCCCTGCACGTGGCTCCCTATTCCAGACGCCAGCCTCTTCACGACATTGTGACAACTGTCACTTCTCAATGAAAGGAATTGCCTGATTCCCAAAGGGCGTCCTCTTGCCAGGGAGTCGGTTCTGACTCGGGGGGCCTACAAGACAGGGCAAAACGGACCCTTTGGTTCTCCGAGGCTGTAACTCTTTCCGGGAGCAGACGGCCCCATCTCTCTCCCGGGAATGGCCGACCTGCTCGTTCACGGCCTCGTGCATCACCACTGTGCCACCAAAAGTCACTGCCACCGAGTTAATGCTGACTCCTGACAGCCCTGTGGGACAGAGTAGAACTGGCCCCGCGGGTTTCCGAGAATGTCACTCGTTACAGGAGTAGAAAGCCCAGTCCATCTCCCGTGGAGCAGCTGTGGGCTCCAACTGCGGAACTGTCCAATGTGGAACCACCACGCCGCCAAAACCAAACCAAACTCGTTGCCGTGGCCTCCACGCTGACTCATGGGAACCCCCCGGGGCCTCCCGAGACTCTCTCTCCCAGTCTTCCTCCCGTGGAGCTGCTGGCCATGCAGATCTCAGCCCAGCACATCGCCAGGATGCCACCAGGGCTCCTTAAAACGGCATTCCCCTGCCTCTGGCTCAATCTCTGTCCATTTGCCTGTGGCCACATCAGGCATCTGCTTTCCTTTCAGTCTGCCTCCTGTGTCTGTAACCAACAAACTAAAGCCAAACTCATGGCCATTGAGTCCGCGCTGACTCACAGCGACCCCATAGGACAGGTCAGAGCTGCCCCTGTGGGTTTTCCGCACGGGCAGCTTTTAACGCAGTAGAAAGAAAGCCTCGTCTTTCTCGCAAGGAATGGCTGGTGATTTCAAACTTCTGACCTTTCAGATCTCAGCCCAATTTGTAATTGCTACACCACAGAAGAACTGTGAGAAGCATTTGCCCTGGCTTTGCTGCCATCTGACCCAAGACGGCAAGTGAGTGTGGACAAAGGGGAAGAGGCCACTATGTGGATTCCGACCCTGTTCATTTGTCTGCTTCATTTTTTGTTTTAAAAAACTGCTAAGTTGAACAAGAAACGCCAGCCACCAGATTGTTCAGATTTACACAAAACATGCATGGCCAACCTCAGGCTTTTCGGTTCCCCTCAGTACGTTTGATGCACAATTACAGCAACCGCTTATTACGGCACATTGACCGGGGAACCGCTGCATAATCAGAAACACTCCTGCCCGGCTGGCAGCTGTGCCAACTTCAGGAAAAGTGTCCCCCGCCTTCCAGAAATGAAGGAGCTGACTTCCTTCCAGCCCTGCTCAGCACTGAGACATTAGCATGTGAGAAATCAACCCTGGGAACAGAAGTCTGAGGCACGACAAAAGGAACCCTGGCTGCCCAGAGGAGAGGGAGCCTGCACAAGGGCCGCCGAGGGAGTGGGAAGTGGGGACGTGCCAGCGCCTGCACCTTCCCTGAATTTGATAAGAATTCTTTCCTGATCCCACGTGGGCACAGGACTGGGTAATAGAAAGTAACACCTCGCCTCCCCACCGTCCAAAAATCACACAACCTCATTGGCAACGAGTCTATGCAATGCATAGCGACCCTACCGGACAGAACTGCCCCTGTGGGTTTCCGAGACTGTACCTCTTTACAGGTAGAAAGCCCGTCTTTCTCCCTGGGACTGGCTGGTGGTTTTCCCCCGAAAGCTCTCATACCTAATCAAAAACTGCAAAAACCAAAAACCTCACTGCCACGGAGTCAATGCTGGCACACCCTGAGCCTACAGGACAGGGTAGAACTGCCCCTGTGGGTTTCCGAGACTGTACCTCTTTATGGGAGTAGCCCATAAAGCCCCATCTTTCTCCATCGCAGTGCCTGGTGGTTTTGAACTGCTAACCTTGCAGTTAGTGACCCAACAAGGAACCACTATGCCCACAGGGCTCACCGCCACTGTCCAAGCAAGGCTAAACCAAGAAGATGGTGCCCCTCTTGTCAGAGGTCCAGAGGCATCACCTCCATCCAGACACCCCAAACATGGCAGACGGCCAGCCTCTGCCACCTCGGAGAGCACCTATGAGATTCAAGGCAGGTGTTGGTTGTATGACCCCAAGGGCTCTGCCAGCATGTCTCCCACCCTCCTCTTCCAACCAAGACCACCCTCACTACCGTGCCAGGGAGTCGATGGCCACTCATAGGGACCCTCACGGACAGAGGAGAGGTGCCCCTGTGGGTTTCTCAGACTGTAACCTGGGAGTAGAAAGGCCCGTCTTTCTCCGTGTGCCCTCTTCATCCAGGCACCCCCGCATGACCGTGTGTCCCGAGCAGCAATGGTGAACCCCTGGCTCCCTTCTTCACCGCTCTCACAGCTGCCGTTCCCACCCCCCAAACGCAGAAAGCAGGTCAGGGCGCCGGTGCCAACGGTGGCAAGTGAAGCGGGGGTTTTGCTCTCTCTGCCCTTGCTGAGGACGGCTTTTCCCTGGAAGACCTGCCAGCCTCTCACCACATAGAGCTGCCGCCAGATGGTGGACCACTCCCGGAGGGTGGTGGTGACTTCTTGGATGAGTGGGAGGTCGCTTGGAATGACGGTCTCATGTTGCCTGCGGTAGAGAGAAGGGAAAGGGACTCAGTCCTGGCTCCAGGACCCGAGGAGACCTGCACCTCGACCATCCCCGGTCTAGGCCACCGCCAGGTTCAACATGCAGGCACATGGAAAAGGCAGACATGCAAACAAACTGCGTCCCTGTGGACAAACACACATGTCTAAGAATGAGGTGCAGCCTGGAGAATGTCCACACGTGACCCTGCATGTAAGCTGTCCCCTCACACGTCACACTCAGGTGAAGGAGGCGGATGATAGCTCAGGAAAGCCAGCTGGAAGCCAGGATTCAAAGTACATCTGTGATCTATGTGCCTACTTAACACATACATGGCCCATGTGACAACCGCCCGTGCCATGAACTCTCCCCAGCTGGGTCAAGTGGTCTTCACCATTCCCCTGGTGCACAAAAGCCATGATGTGACAGCACGTGACACGGTTCTCCTGGTGAAGCACCAGAGAGGTGACTGCTTTCAAAGTCCAGGGGGGCGCTCTCTGGCCTCAACTCAAGTGACCATCTGTTACCCACAAAGAGAGCTCTTGACTGGTGGCCCAGGTCGGCTCTGTCAGGAACAGGACTCAGCTGTTCGGAGGCAGAGAGGGATCTGGTGGCTCGTGGCGTTCGGTCAGCTGGCCTTGGAGTGTCCTGAACAAGCAAGGCCCCCCCCCCAACCAGCATGGGATGTCCAGGGATGCAGAAAGGGTGCCATCTACGTGCTTTGTATTGTACAAGGCCCAGAACGGTGGGCAAGATACGGGCCCAGGCTCACAACTGGGGTTCTAACATCTAGGGCCCTATGAATGGCAGGAAGCCCCCGAGAGCAAAACAAAGGAGTCCCTATGGCTTAGGAATGATACAGGGCCCTCAAGGGCAAAGGGATGGAGTCTTATAGGAGAAAGTCACTTTCTATGGAAAGGTCTAGAAACGTGTCATCCTGCAAGCACCAGACATCTGAGGGAGGTGGGCACCCAAGACCACCCACCACGAAACCACTCTGAGGAATTCCTCTCAGGTGGGCCGTCGTTGGTGTTGGTTATGTGGTGTGAGTGTTATAACGGCCCTGCCACGTCTGTCTCTGAGGTTCCCTGTGAGGATACTGATGCGAACTCTGCTCAGTACACTCTTCAATGCCACCCTCACAACCTCTGTGGAGAAACCTCTCTCCGCGCCCAGTGTGAGCACATCGCATCAGCAGTTGGTCTGTCTTCCACTTCCAGACCCCATGCCCACCCACCCCCCACCCCCCACTGATGACACTGGCCAGTAGGAGGTGCAGCTCCAGGACTAGCCAACGCTCATCAAGTAGACAGTGGACAAAGACTCTGATCAGAGTTCATCTAGCTCCTGTCAGGTTTCTGATACAAACAGTCAAGTCATCCATCCCGGCTCCTGCTTACCTTCCTTCGTTCCCGCGCTGGGACTAGTCTGTCCCTGGGACAAGGGTGCAAACTAGCTCCAAAGTGTGTGCTTTGGCTGCATTGTGCTTGCTGCCGGGATGCCCGAAATACGCTTACACCCCCCCAGCAACGCCCTCCTCAGTGACACAACCAAGGGGCAGGACTGCCGGCACTGCAGCTGCAAGAGGGAGCAGGCAGGACCTAGGGGGCACTCAGACAGCAGCGGAGGTTATTTCTAGAGCCTGGCCACGGTGGGGTCACCCTGGACCAGGAGAGAGAACTCAGGGCTGCGTTACCCCTGGAGAGGGAAGGAAGGAGACATGAGAACAGAGGTCATCTCAGAGAGGAGACCCCGTAAGAGACCCTGCAAGAGAGCAGGCGTGAGAGAGACCCTAGAAGAGAGGCCCTCAGGGGAGAAGCCAGGAAAGAACAAGTGCCCGCAAAATAGATGCCGACAAAGCAGAAAAGGCTGACGCTGTCCGGGATTTCCTCTGGCTTGGATCCACGGTCAATGATTACGGAGCAGCAGGCAAAATCAGACAATGCAGTGCCAACGGCTGCACAAGATCTCTTTAACAAAAAAAAAAGGTGGGGGAGGGCATGGTAACGTTGACCCAAAGACAAAGTACAGAGAGTTAGGAAAGGCGTAACAGGAACAGGAAGACAGGGAGTAAACGGGCGAAGTGATGGTCTGTTAAGGAGATTGCAACAAATGAGTTGAAGCAAAATGTGTAGGAACCGTTGAATGCAAAACTGATTTGCTCTATAAGCCTTTACCTAATTCACAATAAAGGTGAAAATAAACCCCCCGTTGAAGAATGAGGATGTCTCTTTGAGGACGGTGGTGCACCTGGTCCAAGCCATGGAATTTTCAACTGCCTCCTATGCATGTGAAAGTTGGACACTGAATAAGGAAGCTCGGAGAAGACATGATGCACTTGAACTGTGAGGCTGGAGAAGAATACTGAAAGTACCAGGAACTCCCAAAAGGACAAACAGATCCCGCTTGGAGGAAGCACAGCCAGCATGCTCCTTAGAGGCCTGGATGGCAACGCCGCATCCCCCGACATGTTAACAGGGGACACCAGTCTCTGGAGAAGGACACCGTGCTTAGGAAAGTAGAGGGCAGCGGAAGGGGAGGAAGACCCTTGGCAAGATGGAGTGGCACCGTGGATGCAACACTAGGCTCCAACCCCACAGCCATGTGGAGCCGGCATGGGACCAGGGGTCTTCCATTCTGCTGTGCGTGGGGTCACTATGGGTCGGAACCAAGGTAACAGCACCTAACAACGAAAGCGAGACCACCAGAGCAAGAGACCACGCAACAGAGAAGTCACAAAAGAGACGAGTTCCGAGAGCCCCTGGGATAACACACTCAGAGAGCCAAGAGGCCAGCCAGGGAGAGCGGAGGGAAGGGCCGGGGCTGGAAAAGAGGGAGGACCCTGAGAAGAGGGGGGTGGGGGCGGGGGGATGGCCATCCACAGTCACTAGAGGTGGGCAGGGAAGTAGGAGAAAGTGACAGAGAAGGGAATTCAGCCCTGCCTCCCTTCATTACTGTGCCTCCTCACCCCCACGCAGCTTCTGCACATGCTTCGGGATTTATCACGGGACTTTATGAGAAAGATTTGAATCAGAGCCAATCTGGCTTATATCAGGTTTCCAACACAGACAGATCTAAGACCAGCCAATACATCCTTTTTGTCCAGTAATTTCCACCATTGGCTCCAAGTGTCACAAGGTGGGGCTGCTCTATCTCCCCAGGGAAATTTAGCAAACCAAGAATTTTATCAGGATTTGGGGGGGAAGCCAGGGTGAAGACCCCCCCAGGTTTACCACTAAATTACTTTCTTCACTTTAATTACACACCGCGGAACTACAGAACCCACCGAACTCGCCCTTTCGCATGTTAAAAGTACAGTGCTCGGAAAGGCAATTTTGCAATCAGCCAAAGAGATGTCATTATGCAGTAATCATATGATTAGTAATTTTATAATTTGCATATTTAACTGAGTGTGAAGATGTAGCAGACACCAAAAAAAGGAAAGCGTTTTCATGTTCCTCCTTCCACGTTCACACCTGCTTGTTCCTTCCCTATTCCCGCCTAACGGGGAGCCTGTGCGAGAGCAGTCCTCGTAATGATCTTACGCATCAGCTGTACGACCTCTAAGAAACACAGATCACAGTTCAGACAAAAAGCAAGCCCAGACGGTCCCAGTTTAACAGCCATTGCTTCAGCCTCCGAGCCACAAGCACTGGTGCATCCTGAAGAGTCTTCCAGAAAGAGGATCCGGAGCTGAGAGTGTGGAGCTTCTGCAGGAAGGACAGCTCACAGGAAGCCCAGAGTGCCAGGGCGTCCAGAAATGACCTCAGGCCCGAAGAGCATCAGACTATTCCAAGAAGCAGGAAGCATGCAGTTCCCAGCTCTAAATTAGATGCCGCCCGCCCCACCCCCACTCCCTTCAAGACTCATGACCATCACTCCCACACCTCTAGCCCCCAGGTCACCCCGCTGACCAAACAGCAGTGTGGCCAAGGGAAGCCATTGCTCCCTTCTGAACTCCAGCCCACACTCACCCTTTGCCTTCAACGGTCGCTTCTTTAAGATGAATGTACGAGGCAGGAAAGATGCCCTGGAGGGGGGAAAAGACAGTCATTTTCATATCAGCACGAATCCTGATTGCAAATCACACGTCTGACCCCCAACCCACCTACTCCTCCACCACCACCCCCCCACACACACAGACAACGGTAGGGGGACTGCGTCACTCCTGATTTTGCACCTCATGTAAGCATCCCACCGCAGAAAACCCACAGGCAGGTAAGGCGGTTGTGGTAGTTACGCAATCTATTATCAATCTGACGATTAAGAGCAAAGGGGTGGAGTCTAGCCTGTCGATCAGGTTGTAGTTTGATTACCTCATTTGAATGTGCTAAGGAGCTAAATAGTTTGCTGGAGGCCCAACACACACTCACTCCCTGGGAGACATTGCAGCTGACAAGACATGTAGAACTACACTAGTGCCCTGGCTTACAACGCCTCTGGATCCACAAGACTTTTCACCCACTGGCCTGTGATCTTCCTGCATCTGGCATCATTGCATTGTTGCGTGAGTATGAAGAGGAATTTATAGACTGGTATCGGACATATGGGTTAATTATCCGACTTATGGGCTTGATCTGGACTAGGCTGGGATGTTTTCTCAATATTCAACTGCTCTGTATATAAACTTCTTTCTTATACACATATGAGTGCCTATGAATTTGTTTCTCCAGTCTACCCGGACTAACATGGCAGTCATACAACGAGCCCTTGCTCCAGAGCCATGACTGGTGCACTTGGTTTTCGAAGGAAACATTCCACAAAGACACATTCCACTGTCTTCTCTGCAGCTTCTTGGACAGCTGACCTTGGCCCACTGAAAGATCAATGCCAAGTGCTGCCTCGAGGATTACTGATGATGGTGCCGGCACTTCTCTCCCTTCCAAAGATCTCCAACCCCCTGGCATTAAGAGAATGCTGGCTCGTAGCGACGCTACAGAACAGGGCAGAAGAGTTCCCTGTGAGTATTTGAGACTGTAAAGATCAGTGGGAGTAGAAAGCCCATCTTTCCCCAGGAGCGGCGGGTGGTTTCGAACTGCACAACCCATCGTGCAACCACTGTGCTACATGGGATCCAGGGCTTCCCAAGACACAGGATCAAAGTGCTGTGGTCGTTACACAGTTTCATTTCAACTTGATAAAGAACTGTAGCGGGGAGTCTATCTTGTCCATTAGTCACATCCTGATGATGCCTCCTGGTGGGCGTTGCCTTCGCATGAGGCTTCTAGGACCTTCCTCTCTCTCTGCTTCACCTTCCTGTGGACAAGCCAGAGCCCTGGAGATGCTTCCACCGCCACTGGATCCACAGGACTTTACACCCACTGGCCTGTGACCTTCCTGCATTTGGCATCAGTGCATGTGCTGCATGAGTCTGAAGAGGAATTTATATGGGTTAACATCAGACTTAGGGACTTGATCTGGACTGGGCTGGGATGTTTGCTCAATATACAATCCCTCTTGGCTATAAAGCTTTCTCTTACACACAGATGAGTGCCTCTGGATTTGTTTCTCTAGTCCACCCAGACTAACACAGTCACCAACCAAAGCTGGTCACATGTGCACTGACGGCATGGGGATTTTCTCAGGAAGCTCCCAGCAAGGCCCCACCTGATAAACCACCAGACAGTGCGCTGAATCTCAACCCGTGCATGCGACGGCTAGTCCTGGCGTGGTCACACCTGCTGACAACTAAGCAGGGCTCCACACTTCCGTCTCCATTGTCCTTTGGCCACACAGGGGTGGCTTGTATTTTGCCATCACACGGGAATCAGTGCTTCCAATATGTCAAATACCAGTTGATGCTGTTGCTGTGAGGGGCGTGGCACCGGTTCCAACCCATAGCAAACCCACGGCTGACAGAAGGAAGTGCCACCCGGTCTCCCACCATCTCACCGCTTTGTTAGATTCGAGCCCACCATAGCAGCCACCCAGCCACCATGTCAGTCAATCTTGGCGAGGGTCTCCCTCTTGTCCGCTGCCCTCCACGTTAGCCAGCCTGAGGTCCTTTGTTCAGGGACTGCTCTCTCCTGACAACACGCCCACAGTATCTGACACGCAATCTCCCCTCCTCGCCTCTAAGAAGCATTCTGCCCATTACTTCTTCCACGCCAGATCTGTGTGTTCTTGTGGCATCCCGTTGCACTTGCAATATTCCTCTCTGTAGGATACGTTAAATTGGGGGGGTGGGGGGCCAGCCCACCCGCTGCTACTACCCACGGGTTCAGTAAGCACAATTGTACGGTTGAGATATATAACTATTACATTAAAGTCATCGAGAGCATGAGAGGTAGAGGAGAGAAATTACAATAATGCAGTCAGACACATTACATGGTAGCATTGCTCACCTCAGCCCCGCTTGGTGGTCCACATGGAGAGAGGGGGAAGGGAAGGAGGGCAAGGGAACAAGGGAGAGAGGACGGGAGAGGAGAGGGGGAAGAGAGAGGAGCCAGAGAGAGATCTATATTGCTGACCCAGGACTATATACCTTTTGGGGCCATGCATGCCCACTAATTACAGGTAAAGACATCCGTCACAGGAAGGGGTTACACTATAGGTTACACAGTAATGAAGGGGGTGGTCTAGGGACATACACGCAATAGGAAGAGGAGGGATTGGGGTATATATGTGACAGGATGGGTGGATCCTAGATTTAGGATGGCAGCTTAACTTTGACCTGTTCCCTGGGTCTCCATAGGAACCATTATCAGTAGGGTGTAAACTCCGCCTACAGGAGCCTGTCCATTGTCCCCAGAAGCAGGGAGCAGGGCCCACTACAGTTTGGCAACTGATTACCCTCAGGGGAGATGTCTGCTAGCATCTACCTCCCCCCACAAGTCCCTCTTTTGTTTTATATATAAAATTCAAAAGCCACCTGGGCAACATAGTTATTTTCTATACATTAAAGGCTGTCAAGGCAAAACTTCATGATCCAATTAATACAGCCAAAAATTCAGGCTTATAGCAAAACATTTCGAATCCAGGCGCTGGGGTTAAAGTCCCCTAAGGGCCATCTGCTATTGGAGGAAGGTATGCGAGAGATTGGATACTACGGCGGGAAGAAATAGAGCCAAATAGGAATGTCTGCCTCTATAGGGAGAATGAATCAACCATGTGCTCACTTCAAGGCAGCAAAGCTTTAGAGGGAGAAACTGGAAATGATAGATTACTGCAGGAAAATGTTCTCGGATCATATCTCCAACTACCAGAGTGGCAGTCTTCCAGCATGGAATACTAGTCTTCCAGATTCCTCCCGTACCAGTCAGGGAATAAGTCCCAGTTCTATTTCCCTTGGTGCTAGTATCCCACACTTCTCGGGCACCACAATTCAAATGCCTTGCTTCTCTTTGGGTCTTCTATATTCAATGTCCAATTTTCACACGCATAGGAGGTGACTGAAAATGCCATGGTTAGGTGAGGAGCACCTTAGTCCTCAAAGTCTCCTTGGGAGAGTAGAGCACCAGGCCTTTCTTCCTCGTCCATCTGAACGCTTCACAGACACCTGCTGCGTATCCATCAGGAGTCTCCCAGATGGAAGGTGGGATTGAAACATCACTACTCTCCCATTCCACCCCAGCATGGCAATGAGCTGCCATGGCGGAGCACCCCAACAGAGGCCAGGACGTGCTGTGGCTCAGGGAGGCATGGTGCAGATAGAGAAGATGCCAAACAGGGAGAGGGGGCTACTGTCATTTGGTGCGTACATGAGAATAACCATGTTACTTGGTCTTTCTTGAAGGGCGTGGATGCTAGCCTCTCACCGAGAGCAATGTACCTCAAGGTAGATCGTGAAATATTCTTCTGACGATGAGGCCAACGCCATCCCTCTTCGACAAGTCCTTCCTGACATAGGTGACCATATGACAGTCCCGTCCAAGATGCCCAATCCCAGTCCATTTCGGCGTGTGGATGCCTAGGATACCTGCATGCACTCCAGGTCATTTTCCATGACTCCCAATTGTCCAAGCCTCACACTGCATCCACGCCATGTTCTACTGTTGATGGATGTTGGCAATCATTTCTGCTCAGGTTTGCATTGAGCCTCATGAGCCCAGGAAAGTCCCCGAAACTTGGCTCCACCCAGGCCACTCAGGCTGAAGCTACGTTAAAGAGGTAGCTCTTCCGCAGTCTGGTGTTGCCGGTCTTCCCACCTGAGGGCCTCCGCCTCCAGCACTCTATCGGACGAGGCTCCCCGGCTAGCCATACCGTGTCCACGGGCCCATTTTGGCTTGTTTGATATCAGAAGTAGCTATCCACCCAGGGTCTGCTTCGTCCTCTGTCTTCATCTGGAAACACCGCTTAAGCCTGTCCCACGAGGGGCTGACCTTGCTGGGATCTGAAAAGCCAGTGGCAAGGCCTCCAGCATCACAGCAACACGAGTCACCACAGTTCGATAAGCGAGAGGGGTCAGCAAAGAACAAGTCCCAAATGAGCAGCAGGGGAAAGTGAACAGCGCAGGGGGTCCAAGGACGCCGCAGAATTGTCACATGGGATGGGGAGCATAGGGGAGAGAGACACACGATGGACCATGGTCCTAGTCCCTTGTCACCTGTAGGTGACACTAGGGCCCATGGTCCCAATCCCATTCTCCCGAAGTCTTCAGCTGTGGCTGGCTCAGGGGCTCATTTGGAGGAGCACACTCTTGATCCCAGCAGGGAAATCAGCGTAAAACAGAGCTTGCCCAAGAGGAGCCCAAGCCACGGTCATTCTGGCTGGCATCTCCTGTCCAGAGCTCCAAGCCCTGGGTCATTGGACGTGTAGGGACCCTTAGCCCGAGTGACGGTGAGAGTGTACGTCCACTTGGCTGGGCCGGGAGTCTGCCAGGAGAGGCTCTAAGCCCGTGTGGTCAGCTCCGGGGTGGGATCTTCTGCGAAGCAGCCAAGCAGTGAGTCTGGCCACAGTGGTGAGATGGTGGAGGAGGGCTTCATTCAGAGTGTGGCCTGCTCATCGTGCAGACTGACCGTGGGTTCTGGAGCCTGCCACTGCTTCCTCCAACTCCTATGGGATCACCTGCCGATCCCAGCAGCTATGATCGGACTGCCGACCTGGATTCAGCTCAGCATCCACCAGCCTGTGGTCTTCTTGCTTCCTGTTCATCAGCCCCTGCAGACACAGGAGTCAGAAGAAGCTTCCAGCTGACTCTGACTCTTGAACTTGAATGGGACAGGACTTCCTCACTGCTACAATTGAGTGAGCCATTTCTTGGTTTCAACCTCTTTGTATATACAAGCAAGCATCATTGGTTTGGCTTCTAGAGAACTCAGATCAACACGTCCCAATCTGTGCCTTAGAGCTGGCTGGGGTGGGGCCAGGGGGCCGTGTTCCCCTGGTAGACTCGGCTGGCCCACAAGACCATCAGCCACGTCTCCCCTGAGAACATCACCAGTGATGTACAGCGTGCACGAAAGGCCAAAGGCCGGATGGAGGTCAGCCTGGACCCGCACACCAGGGACTGTCCTCCTGGAGAACAAGCAGATTCCTAGCCCTCCCGGCCGGGTGGCTCTGGACACAGCAGGAGCCTTGGTGACAGGTTCAGGACCATAGGCAGAGCCCAGCCCGGGGAGGTGATAACGACAGGCACATTGAAGAAGCCCGAGTAAATGAGCCATCTGTCCAGCATAATTAGATATTAAAATGCATAAGTTGCCGTGGCCGGCCTAACCGCAGCTTCAAACGAGCATGACTGGGAAACCCTAGCATCGTCTGGAGAAACAGAAGAGCCAATAATTACAGTTCAAGAGGCTAAGAAGAGATCCACAGTAGAGATGCCCACGGGGTGTCCAGCGCGGGAAGCCACTGTGCCACTGGAGGTCTTCATTTCCACACCGGCACACCACAGGCTGGGCAAGCAGAACCTCTCACTTTGACTTACAGAGCTTAGTCCTGAGCAAGCAGGCGGGCGGGGCGGCAGAGCGAGGGCACTCGGCAGAGCTGTGTGTGCTGTAAAGGTGTCCCCAGAGCCACCAGCAGCCTCCATTTCTTTGGATGGCGCTGCATTGGGCAGACCAGGCTCTCCCGATCCCAGGGTCGAACCTGGTTGGAGAATTCCATCCAGAAGCAAAGACCAAGCCCCCTCTGATGACAACAAGCCAGCCTCGATCACAGACCCCACACCCAGGCGAGGGTGACAGTCACAATTTCCAGGGAGCACTTTGCTCCGGGGAAAAGAATGCTAATCAGTGACACAAGTCCCCCTCCCGCCTTCCCATATACTTTTAAATGAAGAGTGAGGGAAAGAGGTCATTAAAACCCTTCGAGGACGTAAAGGAGCTGGGCCTGGTCTCCTCTGCCATCGTGACTTCATGCAGGGATGTACTTGTTGGGTTCAGGCCAGAGAAGGACTTACCTTCTTGGACTTCTTCCTTAAGGTGTATCCCCGGTACCACCCTAAACAAACACAAAGTTGGAACAATCAGGAGGAGAAGACACAACAGGGTGCTTGCGGAGCATGTCCCCAGCATCCCACAATCCAAACGCACACAGTCCCAAACTAACCTGACCTACCTTTTCCGGGAAGAAAAGAACATCAGCAAACCCCGGGAATTAAAAAGGTTTGTACTCTAGCGACAAGGGCAGGTATCTGCTTGACGGCTTGGAAATGCACAGGGGCAGTTCTACCCGGTCCTGCAGGGACGCTTTGAGTCAGAATGGACACCACGGTGGTAGGTTTGGATCAACCCAGCACAACAAAGGGCAGTATCACCCCTGTGGGAAACGTTGATCTAATGGTGTCAGGTTTTGTAGAGAGCCTTCCCCAAAAGACCCCCGCACAGCCAGCCACCTTCACACACAGGCCTCTTGGCCGAGAAGCCAGACAACCTGATATGAAGATGCCCGGCTCAAAGAAGAGGCCACGTCTTCTGGACAGCAGCCCCAGTCGGGTCCCTTGCGCCTCTCCCTCAGTCTGACCGGGGTCAGGGTTGCAGGACAGCACCCCAGCACCCCCGCTCACCAAACACTGCCCCAGAACAGAAAACCAATTGCAAGAGGGCGCCCTTCCAAGGGCCCTGGGGCAGCCAAGTGCACAAAGCCCCTGTGTGGCACAAAAGCCTCAACAGGAAACTTGAGGGCCAGGGGCACGCTGCCCACTCGCCAGGGTGTGGCCTAGACCCTTCCTGTGTTGAGGAAAAGAAAGGAGTAAGGGCACAGGGTTGAGGCAGAGCAGGCCAGAACTGTGAGCATGGCTGGCCTGCCTAAGGGAAGAGTCCCTCCAACAAGTGACCGCCACTCCCTGGCTGCCTCCCATCCGGCTGCGGGCAGATGTCTGTCCTGCCAATACCCGGGGGCCACAGCCAGCAACAAGCCTCCCAGTGGCTCCCCACCCTGCCCCGATGTCAGATCGATGCTTCCTTGTTCTAAACATCTAAAGTCCTCCAGAAATCCAGAGACAAAGCCTACCTCCGCCTCACAGGAGCCAAGAGATGCCATCTGAGAATTACAAACGGTGTGCGGGCAATGCATGCTGAGAAAACTCCCAGACAGCAACCCAATCGTGGGTGTGGGGTCACTATCAAGTGTCAGACCCCAAAGCGCAAGCTGCCTGAGTTATTGAGCACAGAGAGCGAGGAAGTGGCCCCATGTGATGGGCATGTGTCCGATGCTCCACCCCCAGCAAGAGTGCAGGGATCTTAACAACCAGGCGCGGATGACTGCAATCAGGAAGCAAGGGGGCTCTGAAGGATGAACTCCCCCAGAGGTTAATACGGAGGTGCTTTCTAAGCACCTCAGGAAGAAAGACAGCGATGGCCAGGAGTCTTGCAAAGAGAGTTGTGGAAGATCTGGTTACACCAAGGCAAGCCGAGCCCACCCCGCGTGCTCCATACGGGGCTCAGAAAGTGGATGGGAGAGAGCAGCGCTTCGGGACCAGACTTCCATCAGGCACTCGAAGGATCGCCTCCTGATAGACCTATTGTCTAGCTCAGCGGCTCATCAGGGCCCTTTGATGACAGCGTGTGCACAGAGATCGAGACGGGAAAGGAGGTCACAAGACTCTATTCACTCGGCTTAAAGGACTCTTCTTGCTCCTGTTAGCATCTCCCTCCCGCAGCTCCACATTAGGACGCCCTTTCCCATCTGAAACTGACAAGGGATTCATGCCCTGGAATACACAAGGAACCACTGCAGGCCAGGGGAAAAAAGAACCAAGTGTCAAAAGAAAGAGGGTAGCAGGTAAACCCAGCCCACGTGAAGAGAAGTTGAGACCCCCGAGGAGTCCAGGAATGAAAGTGGCAATATGTCTCTCCATCGCTCGCTGCCCAACTCTTGGCCCAAGTGGGAATGCTACAGGGCGAAGCTCAGCCGTGGTGGGAGCAGGGTGTCACCAGCAGGGCCAGCCGGCTGGGTGGGGATCTGGGGAGGAGTCCCATCACCTTGGGAGCTGTCCTCCCAAGCAGGGCTCCTCCAACGGGCTGGCCGCCAAGTGGCCACTCACCTGGGGATAGGGTGAAAAGGCTGTCTACTGGCCTGGGGGTTGGCCCTGGGGCCTTAGGGGTCATTTCTGAACAGAATCCTTGGCAGCCCATCTGCCTTTTCCAGTCTCTGCCAAAGCCTTCTGGAGACCGCAGATGATGGTGGCCAGGAAAAGGCCAACGTGCATTTTGGGAGAAGACAGAACATTTTTACTTTTTACGAAATTTAGAATAAAGCTGAGTTCTCAAGCTGTGGTTCGCTAAGAAAGATGGAGTTAGGTTGGGTGTGGCAGTTATATAATCTCCTGTCAACTTGATCGAAGGGGTGAAGTCTAGCCTGTCAATCAGGTCATAGCCAATGAGGCCTCTGTGTGGACATGGGCTTCTCCTGAGGATTCTGGGAACTCTGGTCTTCCTGTCTGGAAGGGGACCCACTCTCTCTGCTTCACATTCCTGTTGACAAGCCACATGGAGCCAGGCTGATGGCAGCAGAGCCCTGGAGCTGGAGGAGCCATGTGGACACCCCCAGCAGCACTGAGAAGCTTCAACCGCCACTGGATCCACAGGACTTTCCACCCACTGGCCTGTGACCTTCTTGCATTTGGTGTCATTGCATGTGCTGTGTGAGTCTGCAGAATTTATGGGCTAGTATCTGACATATGGGCTCATATCAGACTTAATGGCGCATATTGAACTTAAGGATTTGATCTGGACTGGGCCAGGATGTTTTCTTAATATACAATGACTCTTGGATATAAAACTTTCTTTGACACACATAGGAGTGTCTCTGGATTTGTTCCTCTGGTCAACCAGGACTAGCACACTGGGACTT